GTGTGGGTGTGGGTGTGGGTGTGGGTGTGGGTGTGGGTGTGGGTGTGTGTGGGTGTGGGTGATGGCAAGGCAAGTACCTTACGACCACACCCACCCTCTTGACCTTCCTCTAGTCGAAATGGTATGTTCTGCAAAGTTTCGTTGCACTGACTCTTGTAGGAACCAAATGTATAATGAATAAACAAAGTTTTTTTCTTTATTATCAAAAGGCTCTTTTGCAATTGAATTGGTCGAGTGAAGACAAGAATCTTTTTCTTATTTACTAAATAATTTTAATTTAAAAAACTAACTATTCATACCCATCCTATCTACGTACATATAAGTGACAGGAAGATGAGCAAAGAAAATAAAGAAAATGATCGAAATGGATCTTTCTTACTTATTGTCAAAGTAGAGAGAAACAAAGGAGATGATCTAATTCATCTTCTTTTAAGTTGTGCAAGAGGTAAATAAAAGGATAGAGCAAAATAAGAAAAACAAAGAATAATATAAATGTTGTTAGAGAGTACTCTCTAACATTGATACATTAGATATTGAATGAGTTCATAGAAAAAGAACAAGAATGTTAATATCAGCAACAGCAAACCTTGGCACATGATTTTTTAACGGTGACAGTTTTCTTTCTGATAACTTTGCAGGTTGGTTTGCAGCAGCACACAGTGGTACGCACACAACATCGTGGACAACAACAACAAGGACCACAACAAGAACAACAGCAAGGATTACAGCATGGATCACAACATGGACTGCAGCAAGAATCACAGCATGAGCAGCAACATGGATCGCAGCATGAACTACGGCATGTGTCACAGCATGAACTACAGCAAGGACTGCTGCAACAACCACAACCGCAACATGATGAACGACAACAGGATGGCATATTAATAGTAATAATGTGAAGTGAAGTAAAACTGAAGTACGATGAGAACTGGTTTGTGAAACTGTGAGAATAGATGTGAATATATATAGAGATAGAGAAACGAAGAAAGTAGTTTTCATTAGACAAAAACAATTCATTACTATTCTCACGTGACAACACCTAACGTGCACATGTGATAGAGAAACATATGAAAAGAAATATCTCATACTTTGTCACTCTTCATGCGATACAACAAAAGTATGAAATTCATGCTTATTATCAATGTCTTTCCTTTGATTCGGTTGTTAGTGTCGAAAACACCTAAATTTAATTACATATTCACCTTGTGACCACAACTCTCAAAGGGTAAATGTCGTTTGACACACCTTTTTGATGAAAAACATTGATTCTTACGTTCTAGTACACACACACACACACCATAATATCATCAAATTAAGTGAATATTATAATACAACACAATAAAGAACATTGAGAAAATTATATAATATATGGATACAATAACAATAACAACAACATTGATTTCTTGTGTAAGTTGTCTATGAATGAACGAATGTTTCGATGATACCAAGATGAATTAAATTGAATACAATGAACATATTGTTAAAGTTAATAATGGCCTTTTCATGTGAAGTTGTCTGTTTAGCAGCACGCCAGTTCAAGAATGATATTTATGATTTATATTTCACTACACTACAAATTGAATAAATATATTTTTCTTCATTTCTCTTTTATATCTATATTATTTGCTACTACATGTCTTGATATAGTACCTCAAATCACACAAAAATATAAATATTTAATTCCATATTTCAATAATTTCAGTTTTCTCGTCTATGCATAAACATTTTCATATAACAAAAAGTAATTAAAACGAAAAAGTTTTTTGTTTTATTTAGAATATAGAATATTAAAAAAACAATATTGGAAGAAATATATTTTAATGATTGTCTTTACATTCACATATAAGACGTCCAATAGGAAAAGGAGATTTCTCATCTTTTGGATCATGAATAATAGTATGATCAAAAATATGTTCATGAATACATTTACTATTTTTATGTTTTGATGTTCCACAATTATCACGATCAAAATACCAATCACGACATGCTCCACACGTTGAACAAGCTTTACCACCACAATTTAATTTCTTTCCATCCGATGAATCAGAATCAGAATTTTTTTCTAAAAATAAAGTTATTATTTTCATAATGCTCTTTGTTTTATTACTTACTAGATGATTGTGTAGTTTTGTCACTCATTATGTTATTAACTCGATCGTTTATATAGAAATTGGAATTTTCTTATACTGAAAATTTGATGTATGAATAAATATAAAAAAACTTGTTTAATAGAAGATGATGTGTGATGTACATTCAAAACATAAAAGTTTATAAACTCGTTATTTGATGATTAATAATAAGAAAAAAAGAAAGAAAAGATTTTTTGAAATGACGCGTGTCAACAAATGGTACTCGAACTTAATGCTTCGACGAGAACGGAGAAATAAAATCCATTCATGAAGAATAGAAAATTTTTTTTTCATTAAAAATGTGTAATATTGTTCGTCGTTATATTCGAATAATAGAAGACAAATTTGAAACAGCAAGAGGAAAGTTACGATCATAGAATAAAATAATTATTATAAAGACGAACAATTTCATCATTAACAAAAAAAAAAGTTTAATATATTAGAACACATAGAATAAATATCGGAACAAAATCTTTTTACATAAATAAAGGAGAATACATTAGTCATAGTCTTATATTTATAATGAACTGTTTCTTAGATTAGTATTATATTACTATTATACTCAGACCCTTTTACCTATTCTTGTAGATTTTATTTATGCAATTAATACTATAATTAATTCTAGCAATCATCAGTTCAAGACTCTGTTTAGGTTGATTTATATATATTTTTCTTCATCAACACGATATTGTCGACAAATGATATATATTTTAAATAGAAAATATTGGCAATAATGAAACACACAGATTTAATTCTAGTCGAAATCAAATCCATCCATCCATTAGAGTACCTGTCTCCAGTATACAACATCAATTTGTTCTAGCAGAAATAATGATAACATCAATTGAAAAATTCTGACTTTAAAACTTATGAGAAAATAATTCTTATAAAATGTAACTGAGGAAAAACTATCATCTTGAAGGTGTGGGTGTGGATTAAGAGAAGAGATACCCATACCCACACTCACTCTCAAAACAATAATTATTTATGAAAAAATCAAATTAGTTCGTTCATACTCAAAAATAATCATGATTACTGTACGAATATCTATCATTGATTATTAGAAATGAACTTGAAATATTACTACTAATAATATAACACAAGATTAAAACGATCACAATACACGCAGAAATGAAAAAGAATATTTAGAAAGCACATGGTAATTACGAAGAAATTATTTCTTTTACTTTAGTGTCATCATTTTGCTATTCTGTGTAATTACATAATATTGTACAATTATGAAGAAACATAATACATTCACTGACGTCACAACGATTTTTATAAAGGAATATGGATTTTACTCGAACAGATCAAATCAAAAATATGTCACACAACGTTAGTCTATCACTTCTTATTCAACCGGTGGAATTAGTCTATCGTATTATGGATCATCTTGATTTCGTCAACATTCTCCTTTCTATGCGTGACGTTTGCACAAGATTGAATAGAACTACCGACACATACCATCCTTATCAGGTAAAATTTACATTCATTTCTCCGATTAATCATCGTTATCTATCATATGTTTGACTGTAGTTTGATTATGTCATTGGTTGATAATCTCAAGCTAGTTTTGTCATATTAAGGGTGTCAGTATTATAATCATCCATATTCACATTCACACTGACCCATACCCACAACCTTATCACGTCATCATGTATACATATAATTAATTACAATCACGTGTGCTTGAAAATAAACATTAAAATATTCATTGTATACTACACGGCAGGAAATACTTTGGGGATTTTTTCAGGACTTAATAGAAAGGAAAAGTTGAGTCTTACGGCTATCTCTGGAAACTACGATAGCTTGAGCAAGAAGATACTTAGTTTGCAATGCATGTTTTAAAGTAATGTGTATCTTGTAGGTAATGCATGAACTGAAATTCAGCACTTTTGAAAGATCTGACATACGGTTTCAACGTCTGACGGCTGCTCTTTATAGAAACATAGTAATACGAATATTGAATATATATTATATGTTCTACATATCTCTATTCGCCATAGACACTTACAATACTGGATCTTTCGCAGAGCGAAATCAATAATGAAAGAGCAGAGTATCTTAGTCATGCATTGAAGATCAATCAAGCGAGATACATTCTGCGTGAATCTCATTTTTGCATCAGTTTGTATTCATTATAGACACTTACCACGCTATACCTTTGGATGAACAACATTGGCAATGAAGGAGCAAAGTGTTTGGCTGAGGCATTGAAGATCAATTGTGTAAGACAAGATTTCTATTCATCTCGCGTTTTCTTCAGAACTTGATTTGTTATAGACACTTAAAATATTGAATCTTGCACGAAATGAAATTGATGACGAAGGAGTACAGTATATCAGTAATGCATTAAAGACCAATCAAGTAGTGAAAGTTCTTTACTTATCTCACATCTACTTACTTACTTATTTAATTCATTGTAGACACTGAAACAACTGGATCTGTCGTGGAACAGAATTGGTAATGAAGGAGCACGATATCTTAGGAATGCCTTAAAATTAAATCACGTAAGATAATATTTTTGCTAATTGTCCATATTTTCATCATTATCTTCTCCATTCGTCACACACACTTACGATACTAGACCTAGCTGGAAATAATATTCGCAACCAAGGTGCAAAGTATCTAAGTGATACATTGAAGATAAATCGAGTAAGATAATATTTATGTGCATCTCTTATTGATTCAACATTCACACCTGCTATAGGCGCATATAACAGTGAGTCTCATGAATTGCGATACTCGCCGTACTGAAGCACAATACTTTCGTGATGCATTGCACATCAATAAGGTGCAACATAATTTTAGTTCATTTTTCATTGTTTGTATTCAATCTAGACAGTCAGAATTAATTGGTAATCAAGAAAGCAATATACTATCATCAAGTTGAAGAGAAATTCTTTACAGCTTGTGATTCATCAATGGATAATATTTTCTAAAAGCAATTTATCAGTTTTAATACATTTAATGTTTGATAATTTTCTGTACTTTATGATAAATATAAAGGATTTTCTATAAGTATCAATTCCATTTTAGTCTTCCTTCTGAACCTTTCTCTCGTCGAAATAGTATGTCGTGCAACATTTAATTGCACCGACTCTGACAGAAACTAAACGAATAAAGCATTAACAAACAAAGTTTTTTTTCTTCATTATCACAAGGCCCTTTTCTAATTCAATTGATCGAGTGAAGACAAGAATATTTTTTTTGTTCCCTCAATGATTTTATTTTAAAAAACTAACTATTCATACCCATTCTATCCACGCACATACAAGTGAGAGAAAGATGAGCAAAAAAAATAAAGAAAATGATCTAAGTGCATCTTTCTTACTTCTTGTCAAAGTAGAGAGAGACAAAGGAGATGATGTAATTCATCTTACTTTAAGTTGTGCATAAAGTAAACAAAAGGATAGAGCAAAATAAGAAAAAGAAAAGAATAATACGAATGTTGTTAGAGAGTACTCTCTAACATTGATACATTAGATATTCAATCAGTTCATAGGAAAAGAACAAAAATGTTAATATCAGCAACAGCAAACCTTGGTACATGATTTTTTAACGGTGACAGTTTTCTTTCTAATAACTTTGCAACATGGTTTGCAGCAGCACACAGTTTTAGTTACACAACATTTTGGACCACAGCAGCATGAACAACAGCATGGATCACAGCAAGAGCAACAACAAGGATCACAACAGCATGGATCACAGCATGAACTACAGCACGAACCGCAGCCACATCCACAACCACATCCACAGCCGCAACCACAGCCGCAACCACATCCACAACCACAACCACAGCCTGGCATATTAATAGTAATAATGGAATATAAAATAAAACTAGAGTACGATGAGAATTGGTTTGTGAAACTATGAGAATAGGTGTGTGTATATATATAGTGGCAAAGAAACGAAGAAAGTTGTTTTGAGGCAACAAAAACAAGTAACTACTGTTCTCACATGACAATATTTAATATGCACATGTCATAGAAAAATACATGAAGAAACAAAAGTAACGCTTTGTTACTCTTCGTTGCAATACAATAAAACTATGAAATTCATGCTTAGCATGAATGTCTTTCCTTTGATTCGGTTGATAGTATAGAAAAAACATCTAAATTTAATTTCACATTTACCTTGTGACCACAACTCTCAAAGGGTAAATGTCATTTGACACATCTTTTTGATGAAAAACATTGATTCTTACGTTCTAGTACACACACACACACTATAATATCATCAAATTACGTGAATATCATAACAAAACACAATAAAGAGCACTGAGAAAAATTATATAATATATCGATACAATAACAACAAAAATATTAACTTCATGCATGAGTTGTCTATGAATGAATATTTTGAGGATGCTAAAACGCATATAAATAAATAGAATGCACATATTGTAGAAGCAGGCCTCGCAGCGGTCTATGTTACAAAATCAGGAAAATAGGCAGGACACAAATGGAAAAAAAATCAGGAATTTCAATAAAAATCAGGACATTGCAAAATGTGTTGAAATACTACTGTTTAGTATAAAATTTACGTTTAGATGGAACAGAGTAACGATTGAAAACTAATCTTTCAACATAACTTGCTTTAATAAACATGAAAACTGCTTCAGAGAGAGTAAAATGTATAACAATATTATCTTTTCTTCAAATATGCACTTGTAATTTTTATTTTTTGCTCTTCTGTCCTTTCTTATTGTTTATTCTTATAGTCTGCATTCTCTCTTAATTCTTTAAGAATAAAAGAAACAGAAAAACAGTTGTTGAACGAACAAGATTACTAATATGTTAGACGAAGGAATTACGAGACTTGCTGCAGCTGTGAAGAATAAAAGACTTGATAAGATCGGTACAGTCGAAGTACTGGTGATAGCTGCTAATAGTAAATTAGCATCTTTAACCCTTTCGGAACGGGTGGCCATTATAGTGGCCACCCGTTTCAAAAAGATTCACATTTCAGGATCCGTAGTATTCATCTATTTTTCTCACTGATATTACTCTGGTCTTTGGTATAGGTGACGCATATATGCGCCGTGATCGTTCCGAAAAGATGAATAATGTCAAATCGATGTGAAGCTAGCACGATAGAGCTAGCACGACAAAACAAAGATTTAGCCAAATTTTTTTTTATAAAGTAAGTCCCGTCCATAAAAGCAAGTCCATTCGACTCAGAATTTAATTCTATATCGAATGGTGCTATTTTTATTCACAGGACATGCTTTGGAAAAAGTTTTGCCTATATCTTTATTTTTATCCTGTGTAAGAGAAAAACACCTAGATAACATTTTTCAGAAGTTTGTCCCGTGAATAAAAGTAGCCCCATTCGATGCAGAATTAAATTTCGAGTCGAATGGGCTAGCTTTTATGGACGGGACAAACTTTATAAAAAAAGTTTTATGTAAATCTTTGTTTCGTCGTGCTAGCTTCACACGAATTAAAGTCAACTAAATGAAAAATTAATTAACTTCAACTAATTTCGTATTGCATTCCTTCGTTTTGAAAAAAATAATCCCGTCCTGAAAGGTTAAAAACTAAATTGATTGAAAATAATGAAAATTTGAAAGAATTGAGAAAAAAACAGAAAAATGAATGTTTGAAATAAATTTATTTTGAATATTATTAATAAGATTATCTTGCCTTTCGATGAAAATATGTAAAAATATTTTGTATAAATTGAAAATAGACGGAGTAAAATAGCAAGAAAGATCATAATTACGTAAATTTACTCCTATGAGGATAATTCATAAAATATCAGGACAAAATCAGGATTTTTAGTTAAAAACAGGAAAATCAGGACATTTTTAAAAAATCAGGAAAAAATCAGGAAAGTAAACACGCTGCGAGGCCTGTTAGAAGTTAAAAATTGTCTTTTCATATGGAATCATCTGTTTAGCAACACTTCAGGTTAAGAATGATGTTCATCATTCATATTTCACTACCCCTCTTCACAGATTATGATGATACATGTGTTATTTCCTTAGTCATGAAAAGACTAGTTATATTTATAAAAGAAGATGAAATAAGTGGAAGAATGGTGTAGAAAGAGACAAGTATTGTATTTCATAGATAAAAGAATTAATCAAATCAGTCAAAAATGTTAAATTTAATGTAAATGATCAGTGAATAGGATGACAGATAGAAAGATTGAACAGTTAGCATTCTATGAATTTGTCGTGCGATTAAAGTCGATGTGATTCATGTTTCTGAATTCTCTCTTTCACCATATCTCACTTCATTTTCCAAGTATTTCAAAGTGCAAACAACAATTATCAATTATTTTCCTAAAATAAAAAACAATGCACAATTAGTGAAAGAATGGATTAATACTAATAATCTTGTGCAAGGAGAGAAAAATCATCAACGAGAATCTTGCTTCAATTTAATTTGTTTTAGACTAACAACACAAGTGCAAAAGAACAGAATATAAATCAATTATTAATTAGATTTCACCAAATAGGAACAATACTAAACAAAACAAAAATTAATATAACAATTCTTTACGAAATGTCTTTGATGTTAATGAATAAATATTAATTTCAATCAAATATCTTAATTAACAAAAAAGAAGAAGACTTACTGCTCCACTGATCTATTGCAAAAGAATTAAAAGATTATAAACATAATTTTCAATAAAAATTCTAAATGAAGATTTTTGAATATATTGTGTAAGACCACTATAACATAAATAAAATGTAACAGGTAATGTTAATATAATGATGATGTTGTAAATTTCAAACTGTTAACAAACCAAATACTGTCATTAGTAAAGGCATTGAAAGATCATTCATTGACACTGAATAAAAACTAAGAAATGTTGAACAAGTACGAATCAATCCATTCGAAGATATCATTCAAGATTTTGAACAAGCAGAATGATCAACTTTTACTTTAGTTAATTTAAAAAACAATCATCTATTACTTGTTGTCAACACTCTCATTCTTTCCTCATTTCATTATTCTCGATTTCATCTGTTAGTATATTGCACTGTAAAAGAATAATATTGATTTTTTGCTTTCAATTTCAACTTAACAAATTCTCCATGAGGTGGGTAGGAAAGATCGAGAATCTGAGGAAAATGATTGAAACTTCAGATGAACAAGATATACGGAAAAATACTTTTTGATTTTTTTCATCTCATTAGCATATTACAAAGTGACAAAAGAAACATTTACATTTTATTCTTTTATCATCATAAGCATTCAGAATTGACATTCTATATTTAATATGGTCAATGCTTCTAATAAGAACATTTTTTTTACAAATCTAATTACAGAAATGTTCCTTAACCAATTCTATATTGACTTTCAGAAGTTCTCAGCGAATGAAAGGTTTTTTTTTACAATATGGTTGGTGTGTGATGAATATAATACCATACCCACACCCTCAACAGTTGTTTGACTAAATAGGCCTCAGATTCGGACTTTCTGATCCCAAAAACCTTTTGATCAAGTTTTATAACGTATTGTGAGATTTTTTTTCTTCACCTTGGATATCTTTTTGACCCTGACAAGAACACAAGCGCATTTATTTCATATGACTCTCTCTACAGTCGAGGGAATATGGCACTATATCAATCAAAAAAAGACGTCATTCATAACAAGTAATATAAAAATACATGTTACATTTACAATATTTAATTAATACGTATGTTATGATAGAAATAAATTTCATTGAGGCATATAACATGCAAATATATTCTTTTCTTTCATTTTTTAAAAGGCTCTTCTTTCACTGGAAATGATAAACAGAATGAGTACTCATTCAAGTGTATATAGATAACTGATTGTGCGTGCTAAAGATATCGTCGTTGCTTGATAATATCATTAAATGCATTATAATTATAATTATATATATATATAGATATATATACAAAAGTCCTAAGTTCATTTTATTAAAATTTCACATCGAGAACAGTAGAAGTGAACAAAAGTATGTCATCATCAATTATTTCATTACTTGCTTTAGCTGGTAAACAAATAACTATTTATTTGGGCACATTTACTCTTGTTGTTGGTGTTATTGGTGGATTACTCAATGTCATTGTTTTCCTTAGTCTGAAAACTTTTCGAGAAAGTTCTTCTGCATTTTATTTAATTATTATGTCCATTGTCAATATAGGTCAACTGCTTACTGGTTTACTTTCTCGAATTATGACAAGTGGTTTTGGTATTGATTGGACATTAACATCTTTATTTTATTGCAAATTTCGATATTACTGTTTTAATATATGTGCAGAAATGTCAATGACTTGCATTTGTTTGGCAATAATTGATCAATATTTAGCCACTTCTTCTCGTGCACAATGGCGACAATGGTGTAACATGAAAATAGCTTATCGTTTGGTGTTACTATTTGTTCTCATTTGGATTATTCATAATATTCCTTTTATGATCTGTTATGATCATGTTATATCAATAACGACAGGTCAAGTCATATGCATAAATATGAATAATATTTTTCAACAATATACAATTTATGGCACTACTCTAATTATTGGAAAAGTTATTCCTATCTGTATTACATTTGTGTTTGGACTTTTGGCTTATCATAATGTACAACAATTAGGTTATCGGACAATACCTCTTGTTCGTCGTGAATTAGATAAACAGTTGACAGTGATGATTTTAGTTCTCATTGTTTTTGCTTTCTTTACTAATATGCCATTTGTTATTGTATACATTCTATCAGCAATGCCAGGACTCACTCAAGATCCTGTCGTATCAGCACAAATACAATTTGCCAATCTTGTGACCACATATCTTGTTTATATATATTTTGCAGTGAGTATCCTTAAATTAAACATATAGAATGAGAAAATTTCTTTTTCTTTTTAGAGTCCATTTTACATATATGTATGCGTATCTAATCGATTTCGGCGACAGTTCATATATGTGTCATTCGAGATATATCTAAATCGATGGCAACCAGGAAGAATGGCAATCAATCAAGTTATGCCACAAGCTTGAATAGTATCAGACACGCATCTCTGTTTATTATAAAATGTTTTCAAAATCTATTTTAATGTTGTATTTGTAAAATGATCATTATTGTTTATCAATAATAAAAACTAATACCAGAATCATCTTATTCTTTTCTCCAGAATGTTTGTTGAATTATTAGATTCAATAGAAATTGAAATAATCCATTCCACATTTGTTTTATGCAGCATCAATGTTTGATAATAAGAGTATAAATATAGTTTCTTCTAATTATTAACGAAGTATGAACTTGTTCTGCTTCAACTTTTGTCATTCACTAATATCTATTGCATGATAAAAAAATACTAATTAGAAGCGAGTACAATATAATACCAGCAAACTAAATATATCAACAACATCTTATTGGTGTTTTTGAAGAACAAATAAGATGTATATTTGTTTTGTTACTATCTTGCAATGACGCATGAATGAATTATTTTATTTATTTTTTTCAGTAGCAGTTTCTATATAACACTTATGAAATGAATTCAATGGCTAAAATATTGATCATTTATTTGCAAAATATATGTACAATTTTACAATTAACTGAGGATGTGTGTGCCTGGATTTGAGGATATTTTAATTACCGACACCCACACCCCTATTTCTGCACTTTTTAAGGTCATTAGTAGAACTTTTAATATAACTCTTTAGGGTGTGAGTATCAGTGTGAAAGTATAAAAGAATCAATAATTACCTATCACACACCCTATTGTTCAGAGTTATTTTTCGAAGCTTAATTGTTTTTTGTTTTCCAAATGAGTTTTTTCTTATATATTAAACATGGCATTGCTATCTGCTCCATTTTAGTCTATCTGACTTCTTTTAAAAACACTTTACATAGCAACAGTAGGACATTGGCGAAAGTAATGAATAAAGAATGATCAAAACGAAGAGAAAACTTATACGATTGTCTTTATATTATAACTAATTAAAAATCTAAAATATCTTCATAACCCATGTCACTCAAACCGCTCCAAAACCGTCAGTTAACCGCGGTTAACCACGCTTCACCGGCGACTTCCTTCCTACTCTTACCAGGGGTGTCATATTACCTGTTACTATCCCTTCCACTTACCAAGGTAACAGTAACTGTTTTCATAATTGAAAATATCATATTTAATAGCGATCAGTCACTAGTTTTACTATTGATTGTTGATTACGGAATGATAATTAGATCACTTACCAGTTACCTGGTAAGTGGTAACTGATAACACTTACCACTTACTTGGTAACTAGTAAGTGGTATGACTTACCAGTTACTAGTAACAGTAACCACTTACCTGTTACCAACGATATGGTAAGTGATCTCAGAGACCTTTTTGACAGCCTCTTACCAACAGTTACTATATCATTGGTAACAGGTAAGTGGTTACTGTTACTAGTAACTGGTAAGTCATACCAGTTACCAGTTACCAGGTAAGTGGTAAGTGTTATCAGTTACCACTTACCAGGTAACTGGTAACCAGTACCACTTACCACTTACTAGTAACAGTAAGGGGAATGTGACACCCCTGACTCTTACTGTTGTATTAGGATCGAATCTAGTTTACAGTAAAAGTTTCAATTTATATTCAGCTTTCAGCCAGACTTTATTTAAATCTCATCAAAATTAACTTCTAGCATAACAATAAAAAAACATTCTAAATCATTGAAGTACAAATAATATTTTATCACTATTTTATATCGCACATATTTAATAAAATTAACTTTTACAGAGACAAACAAAAACATGCGTACACTATATTTTCACACAGGAAGAATGTGTTTAGAAAAATATGAGTTACAACATAAAATAACATTAACCACGTACATATTCTTTTACTCTACCTATGACTATACGATAAAAACAATTAATAAAGAAATATTATATTAATATATTGTAACAATAATCATGTAATTGTAAATTTAAATGATAAATCTTCAACGATAATGTTTTCCTTGCCGAATTGATCACCATTTGGTGTCATATTGATCCTGAAAATATAAGTTTTGTTATTTAATATGAAAAATATTGATAAAATTAATATCTACCTTTTTCTTTGATAATACGTGCTGCATTTTCTTTTGACTTTCATTAAAAATATTATTTTTTTTCACTTTTATCTACTGATACCAATAAGTTTTTAAAGTCTTTTGAAGCTTGATACATATCTTTATTTAAATCAGTAAGAAATCAAAAATTTTTGATACATGAGGAGAATATCGATATTTAAAATTGAAATTAATCGTTCGAATAATTTCTAAACAAATAAAAATGGAAATTATATACATTGATAACAAGTCTTGAACAATTTCAAGCAATTCAATGAGAAAGAAAAAAGCGACATCTTAATATAGTGTTCAAAAATGCGTCTTATTTCTCTAAATCGTGATAAATCAAATAGAATAAGATAATTCTAATGATATTGATAATTATTTCTAATTTTTTTTCATATTACAATATATTCTTTGTTTGCTCTTCCGTATCATTTGATAGTTAGAATTCGCTAGTTGAAACCAATCGGTAACCGAGGTTTACCGCCGGTACTAGCTTTAACCATCGGTTACTGATGGTTTCATGAAAAAAAGAGCGACATGGGAAGTAAATATCTACAATAGATAGTGTTTATATGCGTAGTCAATACGAGTTGAACATAAGTGTTTTAAATATTTAATGTATATTTACACTTCGTTGAAGTAGAAAATGAAATTAGTAAAAACACATAATAGCTACTAAAAGAAATACGATGAAAAAACACCTCTGCATATAAAATGTTTTAAAGTGTCTAATGCAAATTACATCGTTATGTCTTTTGCAAGAAAAGTTTAAATAACAAAAACCGAAAATATGCATTACTCTTCTCTTTTAAAATATTCTCAAATATTTTTTATCGAGTTAAGTTGGCATGATATATCGCCGCATTTTATAAATTGATATAAATGCGAGAGAAATTTTTTATAATTGATTCATTTCTACAACATGTTCTCCACGATAATAATTATTTTTCTTGTTTCCCATACAATTAAATCAACGACAACGCCTGTTACAGTATACAATAATGCCTATTTTTATCCAACTGATACACATTCTTTAGTGAGTAATCTCTCGGCAATAAGTTCCGCGAACGATTGTCTTTGTCAGTGCTATAATAATATCATCTGTTTTACGGTTAATTACATCGGTACTACTCATCAATGCATACTATACTTTGCACAATTAAATCAAGGACAATTACGAGTAGCACCAACTACTATTAATGCAAGTGTATACTCTTTTGGAAACAGTAATAATAAAAGTGAGTAAGAAATACATTTGATATAATTCAACTGATTTACAACAGATCTTTTTCCTTGCAGTAATTATCAAACAAATTCTGCAAAATAAAACTTTCTTTTCTTTTCTTTTCTTTTATCAGGATGAAAGTAATTGTGTAGGTTTTCTTATAGCATAAGTGAAGTATAGTGAAAGAAAGTATTTTGAAATATAAATTGATATTGGTTAAATAGAATTCCTATTAGTGATTATTCTCTTCTTGGACTTTTCATTTTTGTTTCTCAACCATTGATTTATCATTCTCTAAATAAATTGTTCATTTTCATCTTTCATTTTTAAATGGAAAATGTTTTTTCTAATTTATATTATGTCTATAAAACTTCAATATTCTTTAATCATACTAGGTGTGACATATTTCAAACGAACGAATGAAACTGTATATGATATTTGGAATACAACTGCAGGTACCGATAGTGTATATGCCGTGTCTGGTACTAGTATAGGTACATATTACCCAGGTCAATCAGCACAAACCGCATTTGATGGTGATTTTACTAATGGACCTTGCAATCATGGATCATGCGATTACACTAATGGAGCACTGGCATGCGGAACAAAAGCTGGTTTCTATCTAACATTGAACGGTGCTTCGAAAGTTCTTGCAGCATTCGATGTGATTTCACATACGGGCTCATGGAGTCGAGTGCGCGATCCGATGATGATTACTATTGAGGGCAGCAATTTAAATGGGTCGGCTCTTACGCTTGGCTCCAGCTGGACTTTGATATATACTGGTTCTGCAGGGCTCATAACAGATCCTGGACGAGCAGCTTGGGGTACATTGCAGCTAATTTCAAATCCTTCAATCGCATTCGCAAGCTATCGTCTACTTATCACTTCGAAACAAGGTTATGATAGTTGTGCATCATTTAGTGAAATTATATTTATTATGACCTAATATGCCCAAAATGAATTCGAAAAAGATATTATTTAACCCTTTTGAAACGATTTGATTTTTCTAGAAAATAAATAACACATTCATGTTTATTTGTATTCGTCCTCGGTACATACATCGATTGATCTTTTCAATGTGTGAAACCATTTATTTTATACAGAAGTTTCCAGATATCTTTGATCTCATAATTTTCTATATTTCTTTTAGAGAATCTATTCGTTTCTAGTGGTTGTAAAATGATCGGATAACTCATAGAAAATGGTATATGCTTATAGTCGGAAGCTCCAAAAACAATTACACCATTTTCATAATTTGATTCTCTATTTTCTTCTTTTTTGTTATAAATGAAATGTTCACAATACCTCATCTTGAAATAACGCAAAAAACTAAAGAAATAGTTTTAATGTGAGTGAGAATATGAGCCCTTGTTATTCATTTACACTCTCACCCATATCTACAACCTCTAGCCACGCCCTCAATTCCTCTAAAAAAAGTAGTAATTAATTTCTAATTATAATAATAATTATGCAAATATTAATAAATTAAATATAAGAGCAATAAATGGAATACTAATTGAGATTGAAAAATAGATTGTGTATTAGTATTTAAGAATCCATTTAGATCTTCATTAAAAATAAAATAGAAAAAGACTTATTCAGCATCTTTTCTCTTTGTTTTACTACTTTAAGACAAATAATGAGTATTGAATCATATTGCAATAGAATATGTATCTGATTTGTGTATGTTTTACGAAAGATATTTATATAATTTTGAAGGAAAAATATAGATTCCAGTTATGAAATAATTTAGATATTTATTGTATGAATTAGGATGCGTACGATGAAACTCTAATGGACAGAATTTTATTGATTGCTACTGAGAGAAAAATAATTTGATGATATATATTTGAATTAGATAAAGATCGTACAAATTTTCACAAAGAATATCAAACTAAAAAGTAGCATATAAACGTAAATGTTCTACGACTTACGAAGGACGAGAGTACAAAGTTCTGATTCTATGCAGACTATTCGAGACTGAGTGTGCAATAATTTTAACACGTGTAATTACACTCACACCCACCCTACTACGGATGCATCATAATATCTTTATAGAAAAAGATAATATTTATAATAAGAGAGTTTATATTGAAAGTATCTCATTATTTTACATGAAAGACATATTGCTCTTGATCTTAATTATAATACATCTAAATTAGAGATAAAATAAACTTCAATAGTTTAATTATTGATGGTGGAAGAAAAGTATACAACGCAATACGCTGTAAACTAGAAATTATCGTCAATTTTGTTCTTTCATCAGATTATGAATACTACTATATAGTAGTAGTCACACATTTTTTTTCTTTCTGTGTAACATACTGATACACTAAGAATAAAACAGTTATATTATTTTTATGTCATATATCGATCAGCTGAACACAGCAGCATCTGTAACTGCAATTACTTTGTCTTTAATTAGTTGGGTACCAGGCGTAATTGGTCTTGTATTAAATGTGTTTATTTTTACTCGACCAGCTCTACGTCATGAACCATGTTCACTTTATTTTCTCACATCATCATATTTCAATTTATTTGTGATATTTATTATCTTACCCGTGCGTACTGTTACAAGTAGTTTAAATATGGATCTAGGTAATTACAACATAGTTATATGTAAAATGGAATCTTATATTTTTTATGTTGTACGTGTTATATCATGTTGGTTGATTATGTTGGCATGTTTCGATCGGTTTCTCCATAGTTCAACAAATATACGTAAGCGTCAGTTGAGTTCATTGAAAACAGCACGATTAACAATTGTAATCACTATCATTTCAATAATTATTTTATACAGTCATATGGTTATTTACTATAAAATAACCGATGACGTTAATACATTGGGTAATATCACACCCACGTGCAATGCTCCAAAAGGTATCTATCGTACATTTATTGCAATGTGGCATATGACTTTTTACTCATTGTGTCCATCATGTCTAATGCTTGTGTTTGGTTATCTGACATTGAATAATATTCGTCAGCAACGTCAAGTTCTTCCAATTACTGGTGTAAATAATCAAATTCATCGACGTACAGATAGATACTTGTTGCGTATGTTAACTGCTCAAGTTCTCGTCATCATAATTTCGACATTACCTTTCTCAATCTATCGAGTCTATTCATCATTCACAGTAAACATTGCAAAAAGTACGTTTAGGATTGCTCAAGAAAATTTAGCTGTTCAAATAGCAAATACAGTACCATATTTTGCTCACTCAAGTAGTTTCTATTTATATACATTAACTGGCAGTGTTTTTCGGAAGGAGGCTTGCAAAATTATTCCTTGTTGTTCACCTCATCGTCGAAATCGGGTGCATATGTCTCATAATCAAAGAAATCAAATATCAGTTGTACAGATCGATCGTTAAAAGACAAACAATGATTCTAAAACAGTATTTTAATTCAAGACATGTATGTCCGTTGTTTACTTTAATAAATGTAATATTCGATCATGTTCATTATCTTGTAAAAGTGTGAAAACAACTTATGTATGAATGAATAAAAACGAATTTGAGGGTGTAGGTGTGAAGGTATACGAATAAATAAGAAAGAGACTTCCGCACTCACACCCTCATTTTAACCAATATGGTCTTTAATCTATTTTCTTGAATTTTTTCGCAATAATCGGTTTTAATTAGATTTTTAGTTATTGTTTTTACATGGGACTCATAATCTGGGCGTACTTATTATTTAAAAAAAAAAGGAGAATAAATGAAACAGGGATGTTCATCACGGTTTGATATCAGCCGCTGCCACGGTGGCATAAATAATATAGTCTATAAAACTTTCTTTTCTGTAGGGTGGACGATGCAATAGTCATATAAATGTGCTCCGAGAATAAGACTCTTTCTAATATGAATCATGGTAAAAATACAATCTTAGTTATTATAGATTTTTTTGATAGAAGTAAAAAGAAACTTTCCAAAAAGCCAGCTGCTGCTGCGCCGCACCGAAGGGGGAAAAAGAAAAAGCTATCACCACCGCGCCGCGCCGTGACAGTGAAGAAATATAACGCTACCGCTGCCGCGCCTCCATGGACATCTCTGGAATAAAAATTAAAAAAATTATTCTTTTTTTTCCGTTCTTGCTAAAGAATAATTTCGAAAAGGGCAAGTAGACGTCGAAAATGTTTACATTATGAGGTTGGTAGAAAAGCAAGATTTTTAAATTATGGTTACTTTTCATATTTTTTTGTCATAATTCAGTAAAACAGAACATCAAACACATTTTGTTGTAGAATACAATTCACGTTTTCTCTTGAATGGCTGCTTCATCTAAAGTAAGTGATATTGCCATAAAACTATGTGAAATTGAAAGCTGCCAACGTGCCTCGGCTACATTTTGTCATCACTGTAAGAAAGATGTATGTCGACGTCACTTCAATGAACATGCAGATCAGCTTGTACAAGAACTGAATCCATTAGCCGATAGTGTTAATAAATTGCGTGAGAAAATTAACTCTTTTGGTATAAAAGAATATAACCAGAAGGAACTTGACAAATTAGTTCAATGGCGTGATGAAGCTGTAAACAATATTAACGATTTATATGAATTGAAGAAGCGAAAGCTTGATCTGTTATTCCAAGATAATGAAGAGATATTTTTACAACAGACGGCTCGTCACATGGAAGTAATTAATAAATTGACGAACGAAACAGCGAATTTTGTTGAAGAAAGTGATGTTACATTTGAGCAGTTGCTGATACTAAAACGACAATTACATGTATTAGAAGATGGTATTAATGAAACACACAGCCGTGTCGTCTATTGTGATATAAAACCATTATTGATTGACTATAACTTAGTTCTTTTACACTCTGCAACAAATAATTACATGCGAGGAGGTACACTTCTATGTGCTGACTATCAAATGAGATTGAATGATTTTTATGGTAATGCAAGACAAAAATGGGAATTGATCTACAAAGGAACAAAAGACGGTTTTTGTACAAAAGACTTTCATCGCTGTTCAGATAACAAAGGGCCGACGATGACTATTATACAGACAAAAAATAATAACTATCTATTTGGAGGTTATACAGAAATACCCTGGGATTGTGACGGCTACTATAAACATGATCCAGCCGCGTTCATATTCAGTTTAACAAATGCACATGCCATACAACCAACTAAATTTTTCAAGAAACGCATTAATACGTTCTCGGTTTCTCATGGAACCGATAGAGGTCCGCATTTTGGCGGACTTATACTAGGCGAAAAACACTTCTGTGACTTTCGGATATCGGACAACGCACACAATTACAAATACTCAACTAGCGACTTTCCCGCAGCCTACATTGATACTACTGGAAAAGGTGAAACGCTTTTTGCCGGAGAAAAGAACTTTTTTGTGGGAGAGATCGAAGTTTATAGGCGCGCTGATGAGAGCAAAGATAAATCTATCAATAAGGATGAATATAAAGGTGATAGATAAGTAGGAAATTTTGAGACGTCACATGCATTTTCATCTTGGTTAAGAATTCCACTAGTTGGCTGATGATGCATCCGTACAGAATTTTAAAAAACAAAATAAATGAAAACAATTTCAAAGAGACCAATGAGTGTGAATGTAAGTGTGAGGTGTGCTGTCGGTAAGGGTGAGATTAAAGTAGAATACTCACGTCCTAATAGTTCTTTGTTTTATAAGATAGTGCATCAAATAAAAATATCCTTTTTCCAACTACGAACTTAGAATGCCTATACATACCTGTAGTTGTACAAATTATGAGACATTTCTCAAAGCATTTAGCCACTAAAGAACATCAAGTAGTTTTGGGGTAACATCGAAAAACAAACTTGAAATTGATAAATTGATTTTATTGTCTCCATTATATCAAGCTTTATGTTTATAATTTCTGTTCCCTCTCCAGGAGCCCTATAAGTTTGAGGGTGGGTGAGAATGAATAAGATGAAATGCCCACACTCACACCCTCAAGAAAATTTCAGGAGCTACAACTTTATTATAAATCATATTTCTCGATTTCAATTAGTGAAGAAAGTTAAAGTCTTTTTTTTATTATCATATACAATCTTGGTTTTATAGAAACATGAAAATGTGATTTTCCTGTATTTCACTTTATTATATTTGACTATGAATATGGACATATTAGTAACATATATTGAAAATCTATCTAAAAGTATGTAGACGTATTGTTGTTAGTTGAATTCGAGTGATAGAAGTTTTTGTTGAATTATACCAATGCAGTAGCCACTGTTTAACGGATGTTGTTAGAAAGAAGATTGCTACTATACAAGCATAAGCCGATGTAACTAAGCTTAGATAATAGATACGCCATCGATATGGTGGTGGTGTCTTCATGAAACCGAAAACAATTCCAATTATCGAACCAAATGCTAGGATGATGAGTATGAAAATAATACGTAGAAACATTCTGAGTTCATGTCGAGCACGTTGTATTATTGATATAGCTGTCGATTGTCGATTTATATTTCTTACATGAAGGACTAGTCTGATATAGATGAAGAAGATCAAGCCGATTGGAATGATGAATGACATAAGCTGACGGTAGATGTTGATAATAACAGCACTTCCAGTTTTTGAACTATTACAACAATATGAAGAAAAATAAGATTAGCAAGTTTATGTTCTCAATAGCTCTCGACAAGACTGAGATAGTACTTTTGTCTGTGTAAAAGAATATGGTAGCTATTTTTGGCTATAACTTATTCAAAAGAAATTAATCAGTTTCTCTTACTTTCTAGTATCAATCGTAACGCAAACGTAATTATACGGATCATACTCAATAGTTGGTACGATAAAATGAAATGGACATGGGAAAAACGATGTAATGATGAGTTGTGTTAGAATCATAAGAGAATAGAAACGATATGTTTTGAAATATAATTTAGATGGGTAAATAACAGTCAGATAACGGTGAATAGCTTGTATTAAAAATGAATATAATGTCCACATCGTACCAGCTATATTTAAATAATTTCGAATGATACAGAAGGAATCATTGCATATCATATTGTCAGCAGTACTCATCGTGTCGCATCGGTACTGATGAATTGCAATTAATGTGATCGTTAGAGAAAAAAACGTTATAGATAGACATGTCTGTGATAAAAGAAAATTTGCTAGATTACGAAGAGTTCGATTAAAGAAAATAATCAGAATAAAAATTAAAGCAATAATAGCTGTAAGTAGTGAAATAATAATTATTAAGATATCAACAGGTATATACCAAGACAACATTTTTAAACTTAGAAAGGAATAAAACAATTCTGCTGTATTATAAACTAAGAAAAAGACAAGAAATTTTTCTGGAAAGTAATTAAAATACGAAGAAAATAGAAGATCTAATTTGTCAAGTCAATGATTTACTCTTAAAAAGACACTAATTTCCGTTTCATCTCAATCAACATCATCATCTTGAAATAAAATACAAAAGATGCTCACACCCACACCCTACTTACAATCAGTAACAACAAAAATATTTCGTGTTATAGTTTTATTAATTTTATACTAAATAAAATAAGACATCTTAATATTTTTCAATTTCATCTGTTGATGGTGATATTCTCTTCATTTGTTGTTCTCTTTGCCATGTTTGAATTTCATGAATTGGTCTAGCAGATATTTGTCTATAATCAGCTGCTGGAAATTTTAAATTTGCTAATTTTTGTAATCTTAAAATGCTTAATTGCTGATAAATAGCTTTATTTTTCGATATATTTACTGTTGTTAATGAAAGTAAATCATTTAATAATTCTTGTAATTCATGTCGTTGTTTAGCTTTCATTGTACAACCACACCATGGAAATGAACTCCAAAATTTACTATCGATATATTCATATAACGATTGAATTAATAAATAAAACCAATCATTTTCACTCATACCATAATTCGTTTTATCTTCTCTATGAATTATATTCTCAGTTTGATGAATTAATTTTCTCGACGATGGAAATTGTAAGATTTGTCTATCATAATCTCGTTCAATAATTGACATTGCAAGACTAATTAATATTTGATTATAATTAAATTTATGTGAACCTGTTGAAAATATACATGTTGATAATTCGTCTTGTTCACTAATTATCAAATAAGATTTTTCAAAACCTTGATAAAATAGAATAGCACATAATAATCTACCAAAATGTGAATTTAAATCAATTTCATTTTCAATAATACGTGATCTTTGTTGAGTGGTATTTAATTCAGTTTGAATTGTAAATGGAAGATTAGAACTAGTTAATAAAGGATTCTTATTATTAGTAGGAACCATTATTAATCTATTACCAACTTGACAATCTAAAGTTGATTTATAAATATATTTTGCACCATAAACAACTTTCATACAACTTGTCGAATCTGTATTAGCAGTATTATCAAAAACAACTTGATATAGATATTGTTGATCATCTTGTTTTTCATAATTTATTCGAAATTTATTTGCTTTATCAATTAATTGTTGTTGATTAGGTTGTGTAAAACCAAATGTATTCCAAAGATAATTTGTTGATTCGGATTTCATTTGATCTTCAGTATTTAAAAATTGTAAATTATTATAATCAAATAAAGCAAAATCAAATTCATCGGATAAACCAGAACCAATGGAGATAAAAGCAGATTTTTCCGAAGATTTCATATGTTGTAAAAATAATTGTGATTGAATCATATTAAATGTTGATTCAGGATTTAAATAAATAAAAATAATTAAATCAGTTGTATTTAACCATTTTATTTCAGGATTATGAAATACACCATATCGTTCAATATCCCATGTTTGACTTGAATATTTAAATAATTGAAATAGATTTTGATATGCAAGAAATTCAATTCGACCAACTTTAGAATTTGTTACTAAGAGGACGTCTGTATGAATATTTGGTTGAAATGTTGGTACAATTCGAATTGTATTTTGACGTTTTTCAATTAATTTATTACGTAATAATAAATCAATTTCCCAAAATAAATGTTCAAAATATTGTTGAGATGAATTTTCATCTAATTTAATTTCAAATTTAATACGTTTTGTTGATTGTGGAAAAATTTCTTCATTGATTTTATAATAACCAAAACCATCGGATTTTATTTCATAAATATATTGATGATCATTTGCAGGTGAAATTTTTAATAAAGAATGTGTTGAAAGTATAAATTCGATTGAACCAGCTGAATTTAAACATTCACCATATACACGTGTAGATATATTTTTAAAACTAATTATAACACTCGATTGTTCACCAGGACCTAAATATGTTGGAATTTCAATTTTTGTTATTTGAATTGGATATTGACATGTTAAAGTTGTTGAAACTTTACTTCCAGTAAATAAACGATTTAATAATTTTACTTCTGATGTTATATTAATACGTTTTATATAGGGTTCATTGATTGAAACACTATATGAATCATGCAGATGACATTGAAATTGATGAGGATCAATTACAACTTGATTAACTGTATTACCTTGTAATATACTAATATCATTCATATCTGTAGTTATATATTCTGTTGATGGAAATGATAATATTGATCCACTAGGTAGAGTCATTGCGCCATTATTTATCCATTTAACATTTGTAATAAAAAAAATTGAATTTGGCTCATAGATTCCATCGTTATTTTCATCAGCAATAGTATAACTATAAACACTAACATGATATTTATCAGAACCTGTTTCAATAATGTTTCCATGTATATCAACTACAGCATATTGAATTGAACCACTATTTGCAGCGAGACCATCTCGACCATTATGACCATCGTTACCTGCACAACCATCAGTACCCCGTACTCCATCACAACCATGAGAACCATCTATACCATTTGCACCACCTGGTCCACCACAACCACCTCTACCACCCCTACCGCCACATCCGCCTGATCCACCAATACCTCGTGATCCACCTGAGCCACCACTACCACCTTGACCTTTTTTTCCTGCTCGACAATCCATTTCAATTAACATAAATAATCGAGGATCTGCACTTTGAACTTGAACATGGCCACCAGCGCCTGCATTTCCTCCATCACCTCCGTATCCGCCGCGTCCTCCGTTACCTCCATGTCCTCCATCACCTCCACATCCTCCATGCCCTCCATCTCCACCAGAAGCACCTTCAGCAGAAGCATCGCATCCATTCGAGCCATTACAACCATCATGACCATCTCCTCCATGACCTCCATTTCCTCCTGATCCGCCTGATCCTCCATTGCCACCATTACCTCCATTAGCTTTCATTAGAATAATACCATTTGATTTAGCTAATTTAAAATTATAATTAAGATTATTAAATGTTTTTACTTGCATAATTAAATCTTCAACTGTTCCATTTAACCATATTAATGCATTTTGGGAATCTGTACCAGGACAACCATTACCTCCATCTGATCCATTACTACCATCGCCACCGTTATTGCCATTGGATCCACAATATCCAGCTGAACCACTAGTGCCGACATATCCATTTGAACCTGATTGACCATTAATAGAAATTGTTTGATCCACAGGTTTTTTCAAAGCTCGGTAACTTACACTATCAACATCAAAACTAAAATTTTGTAATCCAACTTCTGTTATTATACTCATTATCGTGTGTTTTCTTCTTCTTCTTCTTCTTCTAATATTTTCAAAATAATATTCACCTTTTTCTACTTATCTATATGCATGTGCAGAAGTCAACTTAGTAATATCATTTTTCTTCTTCTTCTTCTTCTTCTTTTCTAATCTATTATAACACAAGAGAATAGAAGTAGGTGTGAGTATGGCTTGAAGAAGAAATTCTGTTTACTATAGATACTTAAAACGATATTTGAGAAATATACACATCATTTTAAAAAAAGGATATTAATTGTATTTAAAAAGCGGAGTGAAAACAAAAAACTTCGTCACATCTATTTGAGTCTAGCGACAGCAATGATTGAAGAGAAGCGTCATAATGCTGCTCCGCGGCGAGCAGCAATATCACTGCACGGTGGTCGATCAATATTATCAACAGTAAGCATGTTACTGTCGTCGCTGAGTGTGCAATTGAGCTTATCTTTGGACACGGGGAGTACGATGTTGAAACCGGATGGCAAAGGTAAAACAGCATCGAGTGGTTCCTTACAATGGTTGTCGAATTGAACTTGAATGCGTAGATGATTCGAACCTTGCTGTGTTAGAGTAAAATCAGTGGGACAGCAGCATTCATTTTTCATACACTTGCCCAACATGTTGAATATACCCGGCCAATGGGGCGAAGCACGAGTTAATGCTTTCCCTAAATATAGAAAAGTTTTTTTTGAACACTTATACATAAAAAACTTACCGCCACTGGCATTGGTTTGAATGAAAATGCTTATGGCGAGAAAGAACACCATACTAAAAAGTTTTGATACCATGATTATTATTGCTTAACAAACTAACACATAACCCACTTTCTTTTCACTACCTTTATATATACCCTTATCTTATTCTTTTTTTCTTTATCTTCAAAATGACGCTTTCATTTTTATTCACACAAATTATTAATGTGTCATTGCAGAACGAAAAGACACAATTTTATTTATTATTTATTATTTAAGAAACAACAATAAGAAATATATACACTGTATGTAGTCTAAACAAGCTAATAAGAAATTAAAAGTAGTAAATATTAGCAAGTCTTCATCACGATGTTTATATTACCATATCCATTATTGGTAGCGATAATATCTGTTAAATTATCATTGTTAACATCACCGACAGCGAGTGCATAGGGATGTGATTGATAACCAGTATAAAATATGAGTTGATCTCCAAAACTTCCATTACTATACCCAAAAAAAACACCAATGCTGTTGGAACCATAACTGGCTACGGCAATATCCAAATGAGTATCATTATCAAAATCGACAATAACAACTGAATATGGTTGAGAACGAAGACCAGTAAAATAAGTCATTTGATTTAAAAATGTTCCACTGCCATTGGCCAGAAAAATACCAACATTGTCAGCACCGGAGTTTGCTACTACAAGGTCCAATAGATTATCATTATTTAGATCACTGACAGCTACCCAACATGGTTGAGAATCATTACCAGTTGAGTAATTTGTCTGACTAACAAAAGTACCATAACCAGACCCATAGAGTATCATTATATTGTTAGTACCATTATTAGCGATAACAATATCTAATCGTGTATCATAGTTAAAGTCACCAACTGCAATAGATGTTGGTAGTGAAGATGGTTCAATTGAATAAGCTGGTGAGATTAAAAAATCTTCGGTGACATATCCAAGAAACAAACCCACATTATCAATAGCTGAATTGGCCGTAATAATATCAAGACGATTGTCGTTATTGAAGTCACCTATAGCGAGACTATACGGCTGAGAATAATCACCAGTTGAATAGGTTAGTTGATTGAAAAAAGTACCATTAACACATCCCAGAAGTATGCCTAAATTGTCATTGCCAAAATTTGCAACGGCAATATCGGATTGATTATCATTGTTTAAATCAACAATAGCAAGCGCATATGGCGCAGAGCCATTACCAGTTGAAAAACTTGTTTGATTGGCAAAAGTACCGTTGTCATTACCAAAAAATACACCGATATTATCTGTGCCTGAATTAGCAACTACAATATCCAATCTATTATCGCCATTCAAATCAATAACAATTACCATTTTTGAATTTGAAAGACTACCAGTGGAATAGATATTTACATTAAAAAAAGTACCATCACCGGATCCTTGAAAAATATATATATTCCCATATCCATAATTGGTAACAACAATATCCAAAATATTGTCGTTGTTAAAATCACCAACAGCAATCGCAGATGGATAAGAATAAGTACCCGTTGAGTAGTTTTTGAAAGAAGAAAATGTTCCATTACCATATCCACGAAAAATACTTATACCGCAAGTGAATTCAAGAGTGACCACAATGTCTAATCGACTATCATTATTGAAATCACCAAATGCACACATTCCTGGCCCTGAATCATAGCCAGTTGAAAAACTTGTTTGGTTTGTAAACGTCCCATTACCAAATCCTAGGAAAAGACCAAAATTGTCAGTCCAAAGATTGCAGACAATGATATCCAGGCAACTGTCGTTGTTGACATCAATAGCAGCAGCCCACAATGGAAATGATCCACTACCAGTTGAATATGTCGTTTGATTAGCAAAGTTGCCACCGCCTAGCCCAATAAAAACACCTATATTGTCGTTATTTGAATTAACAACAGTAAAATCCAATCGATCATCATTGTTAAAATCACCTGTGAACACCCACTGCGGTAGAGAATCAATGTCAGTACTATACGGTATTTGTTTATGAAATGCTCCAATATCATATTTCAACATTGTTAATACATTGTTGGTACCAGAGTTAACGACAGCAATATCAGATTTCTTATCATTGTTGAAATCACCTATGACTATCGACTGCGGAGAAGAACCGAGACCAGTTGAATACGTACTTAAATTAGTAAAACTACCATTTCCATATCCATAAAGAATGCCTACGTTATCAGCGGCAGAATTGGCAACTATAATATCAAGTTCACCATCATTATCAAGATCACTAACGGCAACTGATGTTGGCAATGATAAAGTACCAGTCGAAAACATCGTTTGTGATGGAAAAGTTCCATTCATATATCCTAAAAGAACCCCAACATTATCCAATCCATAATTAACCATAGTGATGTCTAATTGTCGTTTGTCAGCGAAACTACCGAGAGCAATAGCTCGTGGATGAGGAGAAGATCCAGTTGAATATGCTGCTTCACGTTCACCGCTCATGTAACTAGTTCCTAGAAAAATTCCTATCGTATTAGTATAAGAATTGGCTACAGTGACATCCATTAGAGTATCATTATTAAAATGACCAAATGCGATTGAAATTGGACAGGAATTTTCACCGGTGGAATAACTTTCTTGATCGGAGAAAGTTCCGTCACCGGTTCCAAAAAATACCACTATATTGTTAGTACCACAATTACTAACAATTATATCCATTTGATTGTCATAGTTCCAATCTGCAATAAGACATGATTGTGGTCGAGAACCACTTCCTGCTGAATAGGTTACTAGATTAATTAATGTTCCATTGCTATAGCCAAGAAAAATAGCAATACTACGGCCGTAAAAGGTGGTGACAACCAAATCCAGATTATCATCGTTGTTCAAATCACCAATTGCTATACTATTTGGATCAGTACCAATACCAAGTGAAAAAATGGATTGGTTTAAAAATGAACCATTACCGTATCCGAAAAATATATTTAAACTGGATGTATACTGACAGGCAACTGCAATATCTAATAAACCATCCTTGTCAAAATCTTGAATAGCTAAAAATTGCGGTCCAGAGCCATCTCCAGTTGAATAAGTTTGTTGAGTGTAAAAACTGCCATTACCATAACCAAGAAATACAACTATATTATTTGTCCCAAAATTCGCAGCAACTATATCTAGTCGAGTATCATTATTGAAATCACCAACAGCAACAGAATAGGGTTCAGAATCACTGCCAGTTGAATAAGTGATTTGATTTGGAAAGCTACCATTACCATAATTCAGAAATATAATAATATTGTTTGTTCCAGAATTTGCAACGACAATATCTAGATTTTTATCATTATTAAAATCAGCAACAGCTACAAACATTGGATCTGAATTATCACCAGTTGAATAACTTGTTTGATTTCCAAAAGAACCATTTCTATATCCAAAAAATATATCTATATTATCACCATAATTATTTACGACGACTATATCTAATTGATTGTCGTTATTAAAATCTCCAACAGTAACATATTGAGGATAAGCTGCCTCTCTAGTTGAATAAGTCTTTTGATCTGTAAAACTACCATTGCCGTATCCAACGAAAACACCTACATTACTAGTAGCATAATTTGCGATAGCAATATCTGGTTTACCATCATTGTTTAGATCACTAATAACAACTGAATATGGTTGGGAATTGCTTCCAGTTTCATAGATTTCTGGAAGGGAAAAATTACCATTTCCATATCCCAGAAAAACGGCGAGGTTGTTGGGATAATTAGTAACAATTATGTCGAGCTGTTTGTCATTATTGATGTCATCAATGGCGAGTGTCCACGTATAATAACCACTTCCAACTGAATATGTATTTCGCAACAAAAAGCTACCATTACCATATCCGACTAAAACAGCAAACTTGTTAGTGTTACTATTAGCAACAACAATATCAAGTAGATCATCTCCAGTCACATCACGACACACGAGAAATGACGGTCCAGAACCACTTCCTGTTGAATACGTCTTTTGAGCTAGAAAAGTACCATTACCATATCCCAAAAATACACCAATATTATTCGTTCCATAATTGGCGACGATAATATCAAGTCGTTTATCGTTATTCACATCACCAATAGTAAGAGCATATGGTTGAGAATTACTTCCTGTTGAATATGTCTTCTGCGTTGAAAAACTCGCATTGCCATAGCCAAGAAATATTCCAATATTATTTTTACCATAATTAACGACAACAATATCTAAGCGAGTATCATTATTAAAATCACCAACAGCAACAAATGATGGTTCAGATTTACTTCCAGTAGAAAAAGTCGTTTGATCAGAAAATGTCCCGTCACCATTTGAAAGAAGTACACCTATATTATTAGTCCAATAATTTGCCACAACAATATCTGATTGATTATCATTATTGAAATCACCATTAGCAATATAATAAGGTCCAGAACCACTTCCAGTTGAATAAGTAGTTTGACTTGAAAATGTGTCATTTTCATATCCAAGAAATACACCTATATCTCCAGTCCAATAATTCGCAACGATAATATCCAATCGATTGTCATTGTTGAAGTCAGCAGCAATAATTGACATTGGATAAGTTCCAAGACCAGTTGTTTTATATGTATCTTGACTTGAGAAAGTATAGTTTCTGTACGTAAGAATAATATCGACATAATTTTGGTCATAATTAACAGCAGCTATATCCAATCGAGTATCGTTATTAAAATCGCCCGTAGTAATCAGGTATGGCTTTGAATCATCATCAGTATAAAATGTCATTTGATTTGCAAAGACACCAGTTCCATATCCAAAAAATACATTAATGCTGGAAGTATCATAATTTGATACAGCAATGTCAAGGGTACCATCATTATCAAAATCGCCTATGGCTACCGACTGAGGTAAAGAATTAACACCAGTTGAATATATTGTTGGTATTGTGAAAGTTTCGTTTCCTAAGCCCAAAAGAATACCAATACTATTTGTGCCAGAACAAACAACAGCGATATCCATATAAGTATCATTGTTTAAATCATTTATAGCAATTGCATTTGGACGAGAGTTAATACCCATATCAATAGTAATTTGACTTGCAAATGTTCCATTTCCATGTGCCAATAAAATACCCACATTGTTAGTTCCATAATTAGCGGCAACTATATCAAGTTTACCATCATTGTTAACATCACCAACTACGAGCGAGTACGGAATCGAATCAAAACCAGTAGAAAAAGTTGTCTGCTCACCAAAACTTCCGTTATTATCTTGTAGAAGAACACCTATATTGTTGGTACCATAATTAACAATAGCTATATCATTGTATGTATCATTATTAAAATCACATACAACAATCCATCGTGGACGAGAAGATCCAGTAGAAAAATTTGCATATGGTATAAAACTACCATTGCCTATTCCAAAAAAAATACCAATATTGTTTGTACCAAAATTTGCTACAGCAATATCCAAATATTGATCATGATTTAAATGGCCGACAGCGACTGCATATGGACTTGTACCAAGACCCGTTGAATATATTATTTGATCAGTAAATGTACGAGTACCATCTCGAATAAATACTCCAATATTGTTTGTACCAGAATTTGGAACAACCATATCGAGAAAACCATCATTATTAAAATCTCCAACGGCAACAGATCGCGGATGAGAATCGTCAGTAATTGAACTAAGAGCCTCTGATTTTAAGATGAATGTACATGTTTTACCTAAATAATACAAAAATTATTAAATAAATCCTATATTGAAAAGTATACCTGGTGGTTTTGGTGACCTGAAGCAAACTATTAAAACACCAGTTAACATTGCTAGAATTGTAAATATAGCAAAGATAATAAGTCCTTTAATTGAAAATGATTTCGATGAAAGACTATTTTAATAGAAACAATTGTAAAACATAATTAAATGAAGTAAATAAGACATACTCGTCTGTTGAATCCATTGTCAAATCTTGTTCATTATTACCATCATCATTAGGATTCGTATCATGTTGATTCGAATCCGAATGTGTTTCTTCTTCAAGATGCACATTAGAATGCTCATTATCACACGAGCTTTCTACTGTTATAATTTCATTATCCATAAAATTTATTTTAATCTGTAATAGAATAGATTTATCTATAAATATAAATTCACTATAGAAAAAATAAATATTAAGAAAATTTATGTAATGTTCTTACACAAACATTATTTACCTTTAGTAAATGTATCTTTGATTATACATACTCCCGTTAATATCTTGTTTGAAATATTGTAAAGAATAAAAAAAATTTTTTTCGTTCTTAACTACTATATATATTATACGTTATTCAAATCAAAAACATATTACTCGCAATATATAACTGATATATTTTTCATTAGTCAATCTTTACACGCACATTAAAATTATCACAAAACTAGTTATACATCTGTCATATACGTAGGTGATGTATGGATATTTTTTTCTCATTTTTATGTATTATCTCTTTCTGTATATTTTAATACATATTAAAGGCATGAATGATTTCATACGATTCAAAAGAATAATAAGGCAAATAAGAAAAAAGTAACGCGTGATATCGTTCGAAAACAAACGTCTATTTCATTATGTATATTACTCATTGTTGGATTAATGTCCTATATGACAATAATTTTGTTTAAGCTTTGAATAACACTTTCATTTGAAATTTTTATCGATCGTTCTTTTGCTTTCTTCAATATTTTTACATAAATGAAAATGATAATATCTACTGAATCAAATCAAATAAAAAAATCTAATGAAGCAATTCGTAGTAATTTGATGGACAGGAATAAAATTATCGATTTATTATTTAGATAATGTTTTCGTGAATATTTACATTTATTTTACTTTTAAATTAGAAATATTAATAAATATAATAAAATATTACTAAACGATATAATTTAATATTTTTATCTTACATTATTATACAAAGTGCATCACATGGAGATACACATATTAATCGTTTTGTATGTATAACTATACTCCTTTATTCTATGGATCAGTGCACTTTCTTTTCTCGTGTATTATTTTTCAATCACTGTTATTTTATCATTAACCATGAAAACTTCATTGTTTTTTTTAAATAAATCTTTTAAATACAAGAAATACTGTATACTTTTTTTAATCTCGAAAAACTTATCTAAGAAAAAACAAAGTTTTTATAAATATTGAAAAATGTTTTTTTTTATATATAAACAATATCAAACTAATAACATATTTTATATTTAATTTAGTAGTATTTCTTACTTTTGTGAAACACGATCTAAATGAAGTGTATAGAAGTAGAAATTTGGACCTCTACTCTACAAATGTTTTTTGACTCCATCACAAACATCTCTTCAGATTTTTGAATTCTTTTAGAAATTTCTCGTGTAATTTTTTTCTGTTCTATTTTTCATAATAATTGACAATAAAATAAATAAAAATATGAATGTTGGGGATTCATTCGACTCTAACCAATATCCACCATTAAACTTATTCAAGATATTTTTATTATTTGAATAAACATTTATCTTTATGGTTTATACTTATTTATTTACAGCTGCAATATTTCGTTTTCGTTGTTGAACTATTTCTAAATCCATAATATTTTGTGATCGTCTAAGTTATTATTCATTGTTTCAATTCTATTTGTAATTTCTGTGAACAAGTTATTCATTAAAAGAAAAAATCGAAATATTATTCATAGATATGTACGTTGATCGATTCTGATTATAAATTTTATAATAATGACATTATCAAGATTAAAAAAAATACTTAGTTGTAAAATTGGTATTGAAATAAATTTTTTTATTTAGATTAGATCAGAGCAACGACTTTTAATTAAAGAACTTTTTTACATTTGATCGATTTATCTTATTAATATTTATTTTTTCATATATATTATTTATTTGACAGTTTTCTTTATTTTAATATTTTTTAGTATATTACTTGAAAGTCTTTGATAGTTAATTAGTAAAGATTGATTTGATAAACATGCATTAGAAAATGTTAAACTAGAATAAATCAAAGTAAATACATATTTTTGCTTTTAGATTATGTCAATCAAAACTAATGATTATTATACTGCTCATTTTAAAATAAAAGGTGAGTAGGTAGTTTTTAAATAACTTTCGAAAGGAATAAGATAGAGAGTTAGGGTTTTCACCGTTGAAAAGAGACAATGAAGATCCATCAAAACTTATTATTTGATTGATAATATGTGAAGTTATTAATATAACACCATCGCTTCAATTTTCATTTATATAATCGGGATTAGAATCAATTAATGATGCAGTATAGACAGAAAAAGAAAGCAAGCCACAAATGTAATATCATTACAAACTTTTGCTTCCATTTATTATTCGAAAATTATATAACATCTGATCAATATACTCAGTAAAAAAATATTTAGAAGAATAACTTCAAATAGTCGTTTGACATTCAAAAGTTATATGGGTGATGAAACTTTTATAAAAAAAAAATATTATCATTTCAAAATGCAAACCACACGTTAATATTTTGAATTATAAATAATAAACATACTATTTCTGCTTACTGTTATCGTTAGATAAACTCACAAATCACCAGTAAAGTTAATATAATTTATATTAGGATAAAATAGAGAAGAGCACATTAATCAGATATTCATCGAATAACTGGTATTGTAAGCATGTGCAAACTGTTAAAGAAGTACAGTTTCTCGAACTTTGATATTAAATATCAAGCATTTTTAGATACGCAAATATATACATCAGAAATAGAACAGATAACTAAAATAAGAAAAGTAATTAAAAGACAAAATATCAATAATCTTTAGTTTACATATTACCTATACAAGAACCATTAGAAGGTACATTATATCTCTCAGCATGTTCACCAAATTAAGAAATGAAATTACATTGACTATATTTATGATAGAATATGTACTACTTTCATTTCACCTTTCGATTTTGAAATCTAAACAACACGAAATCGTCAGGTATTGTATATATCTCTTCATACATGTATTTAAGATAAATTTTGATTTATTAAGAGTTGATTGTTTTATATCTAACAAATTAAATTTGTTTATACTCGTGAAAACTGATCATCTACTGAAACAATATCCTTATAAATACCATTGATTGATTATTAGCTAAATTATCAAAATTTATTCATTCATATGTATTCTAAATGAATGCAATTCGAATCCTTTTCCAATCACTTCTGAAAACAATGGTAAAGCTCAACACTATGTTAGTTTTTTTTTAATTTCTCACACATAAGAAAAATAAAACACATTTTATTTTCGATTACAGCGACAAAAATAACGATATTGTAATAATAAACCAGCAAGACTAAAAAATATTCCACCACACAAAAATAGTGCAGCTGCTCTATTTTCACTAAAATCAGTTGAAGTATATTGTGGCAAAAATAGAATTGTACCAACAAAATAAAATACACCACCGAGTCCAGCAAAAAATGAAATAAAAATTGCTTGAAGATTGTGTCGAATATTTTGAAAATGAAAATGAGTATCATTTGGATCAACAGCACTCGTACAGGCTAATCGATAGATTTTCCATGCTTCAGATAGATAAATTGCAGCCGAACCGGTTATAAAAAGTACATCACCAGCAATTATGTCATCTGAATACTTTGGTAAAAATAATACTGATCCTGCTAAATATAAAATTGAACCCAATATGGATGCTAAATAATTTAAATCAATTTGAACTCGTCTATATCGATCAGAACATGTTTTTGACTCTTTATCAACATGGTTAGTATTTGAAACAGTATTGTTTTCTTTTTGACGTTTTGAAATTATGAAAAGACCAATTCGATAGTAAAACCAATCTTGTAAATCAGCAATTAGAAAGGCAGCTGAACCAACTATGTAGAACCATGCACCAGCATTTAATGCTTGATCATATTCTGCAATAACTTTAGTAAAATACATACAAGATCCGCAAATAAAAGTAAGACCACCTATTAAGTAAGATATACCATGTAAAATACGCCATATAATTGAATAAGGTGCTTCAAGAAGGTTTCCATGTGAATCTTCAGCAGGTATATCTCTTTCATTTACATTATTAGACATCATGTATATAATATGTTAAGAAAAATATGTAGTTAAATCTTATTTTTGTCTACCTCCTATTAAACAGGTAATGTCATGTTAGGTAATATTATAGTTGTACATTTATATTATTTATTTTTTTTTTGCTGTTCTATCATCGACGCACACTACTTAGAAAACTGAATATTCATATATTTCTTTTCTTCTGCTCTCATGCATTGGACGAGAAGCGAATATACCAATTTTTTAAGCAAATACTGTACATTAATGACAGAACGAAAAAAAACGATAATAAGGCAGTCAACTGTAAAGATCAAATGAAACGGCAAATCGATGTACACTGTAAAGTAGAAAACAATTTATAAAGTATGATAAAAGATATTCTAGGAATGTCCTTACAAATTTCTATTTTCATGAAAATATGAAATTAAGAAAAAGTCGAAAATATAAGTTTAATTTTCTAATTAGAAAATCGAGAGTGCATACCTATAAATTCATCTCATAAAATAATATATAGCTTCAATTTAAATTCACAGTTTCGAATTCATACAAATGCATATCATAAAATAATATATGACTTTAATTTAAATTCCTAACATAGAATTCATATACATGTATCATATAAAATTAAAGATAATTTTAATTTTTGATTCAAATACTCACTACAGGTGTCGTTTTTCTATAGAAAGTTTATTAAAAATGAAACTGAAGCAAATTACGAGTTAAAATTATCTGAACGTAAAGAAACTTGCACAGCAATAGAAAAAAACAAATTTTTCAACGTTTTCTTGTATGATGAAAGAATATACATGGAATACTATCTTGTCTTTACCAGACATATTCTGTGACACTTCCACAACATATCACCACAGTATGTGTGTGTGTGATAGACATTTCTCTCCGATTATTTAAATATCTTCAAAGACGCTCACAACATATTTTTTCAATTTGAATAAGAAGAAGAAGAAACACAATACACATCATGAATTTAAACTTATTTTTTGATATTTTCATCTTAATTCTCACATCATTCAGCTCTTTTACTTCCATTATACTTATTGTATTGATTTTCATTTGTATTCGTCCATTTGCATCAAATGTTGCGCTTGTTTTAACATGCAATACTACTGTAGCTGGGCTCATGGGTTGTATAAGCATTATCGATATGTATATCCATACTCTTTATGGTGATCTTCATTCGACTAGTACTTTTGAAAACCGTTGGTGTCTGATTCGCGCCTATTTTGCACAAGTAGTTGGTTGCGCCTTGTATCATTCGTATGTTCTTCAAGCTATTTTTCGATTCTGTCGCATTGTCTTTTACCAAAAAAAGAAACTTCAATCACTGGGTGTTTCATGTACTGCAATCATTATACAATGGTTATTAGCATTTCTTCTCATTCTCCCAAATTTTCTTTTAAATGATTTTGAGTATCTTCCTAGTGAATACCATTGTCAAGTACCTTTGACAAATTTTCGTGGTTTTCTTATGATAGGATCCATTGGCTATTTCATTCCTATAAGTGTTGTGTCTCTAATGTATATTTATCTTATTCAATATATTCGTCGATCATCACAAAGATTACAAAACCGACAAAGAGAAAATAAACGAGATGTTATTATTATTAAAAGGATTTTGAGTCTTCTTATGATTTTCACCATCATGTGTTTACCATCAGTTTTACTTTGGCTCATTAATGTAATCACCAATTATCTACCATCGTCGGCTCATCATGTAGAATGGCTGACTGTATCCATTTGTATGAGTGTTATGCCTATTGCTCTTGTGTTCACTACACCAAAAATTCGTCATATGTTCAAGAAGAACCGACAACAAGTACATACCATCATGATAGCAAGAATTAGTCAACATGAAATGACAGAAAGGACTCGACATAGGCTCTGAAATAGAAGCAGCACAAATATTGCTACTTATATATGGTATGAGTTATGAATAAATCATTCCATTAGAAACTATTGTACTAATCAAAAATCAAAATTTTCTATAAACTTCAAAGAAAAAACAGTCGTTCAAAATTGTAAAGAAATTTTATTCTTCAAAAAAAATACGCTTTCTAATGTAATTTAGTTAATTATCGTCGGTGTCATGTTGTTTCTCATCGCTGTTATTTATAATTATTGTATTTTTAGACTTTGTTGTTCTGGAATGACATATAAAGACATGTATAATGAATTGAGTACCTGCATAGTTTTAATTCGATAAATGTAGAGAATGAACGTTCAGCTTTAATGGAACCGATCGGAAATGTATCTAATATTTAATATAACTTATACCATTCGGAACCTTGTTGTTGGTCATGTATTATAGCCAAATGTTGTAATATAGAATGACTTGAATTTAAATCTTAAGGGTGAATGTGAGATTATAGTTTTTCCCACCCACACACAGCGATTCTTGTTCTTATTGATGCCAACATGAATAGGTGCTGCGATTTGAGCGAAGTTTTTTATAAATTTTCGGTACTATCCTATTTTTCCGATAAAATGATATGCATCTCTTAAAGTTTTAAACACTGGTATATCTTAAATTGCTTGTATTCACTCATTTAATGGTGACATATCTGTACTGTTAATATAATGTTCTAGATATTGCTTTCCGTGTAGACGGAATTAATATTTGCACGGATTAAATTGACATTCACAATGATGAGCATTGTCCTAAGTATAGAAACTATTAAGATTTTTTCTTGTACACAAAATGCACAACTTACAGTTGTCAAACATGATAAAGTTTTGATAAAACTTTCACGTGATATAACAGCTAACGGAAGGCTTTTCTTTAGCTAGACGTAGCTGTGCGATAGAAACTTGAAATTGTACATCGTTTTCTGGTCGAGAATGACTATTAATGAAAAATGAACATTTAAAGTTTATTTTGTATTATTTCAAACTAAAATATACGACACGAAATTCAATTCAATCTCACCAATTGCAACAGCATGCGAATGCTGTAATACGTATTTCATATCAACTATTTTATTGTACCGATTGATGTTATGGTGTATATAATTTGAAATGGATTGTTTAGGACAATTCAATCTAAATAAATATGCAGAATGATATAAAATAAACCAAGCATTAAGTTCATATTTACTTCTCAAAAAGTCTATCCACCTGACAGTATGAATCAGCAATATATAAAGCCCCATCACGTTTATCTTTTACCAACGATATGATGTTTCGTATTATACTGCAAATTTTCTTCTCTAATCCCGATTTTGATAAATATTCGTTTATTGTTTACAAAACAACGAGATGGATTACCGATAACAAAAATATGAATTTTTGATTAGATATATATTATCATTATTTTAAATTAATTTTGTTCTCAATATATTGATTAAAAATATGAAGTTAAATGCAATATTCTGTTTCTCGTAGATAATAGTCTAGCAGAGATAAATTGTTTACTTGCTTGTATGTCCGCATGGTCAAAAAACCATCCAGAAAAACTTGCACACCTTGTTATATAAATATATCCCCCTATAAGTCACTCTCAAGTAGTTTCCATTACTGATTGATAGCCTATGTTGAGTACTATTAAACACTATACTTCAATATTTTATTCGTTTCCCTTAAGATTCAATAAGAGACAAACATCGTTTTTTCATCGAGATCACAATTTTCACTACAGTATTAACATCAACTTTTTTAAGCTCTTCCCATAAAATAAGCTCTAGTTCATCAGTATTTTTCGGTTTTCTTTTTTCAACTTTGCGTTTTACGATTGACCATAAGTTCTCGATAGGATTAACATCTGGACCACTGGATGGGTACGTCAATAATTGTGGTACCTTATTGTTGATGAATTGTTTAGCAGTATTCGAGTATGTTTAGGATCATTATCTTGTTGTAAACACCGATTTTGAGCATAATATTAACCATTAGTTGTTGATAATTTTTCTTTAATTTCACTGAAGGTTATTTAATTGTTACATCGAGTATATTGAACAATATAGATTTTTTCTATTTGCGTGTGGCACATAGTCGGTCATTTCCTTTTCACTGTTTAAGTGGATTTGTTTTTTCGATTTATTTATATTGTAATAGATAGTCCTTGGTGATACCTTTATATAATCATGAATAGCACGAGCGCATCCCATGCTTCTGTTACAATAATGTATAGTGTCTATATATGATAGTTTTTTAAATCAGTAGATTATGTCATCAGTAAATGTTTATATATCAAAAAGAAGAGAAGTCACGCTTTTATATAGCCAACGTGTAGTATAGCTAACGAACATATATTCCTGGAAAAGTTAAATTTGTAATTGCTTTCTAACGGTAAGAAAATCGTTATATAAAAAATTAAATTTTGTGTAAGTTCTTTTGAATAGGACTGTATATCTAGACATGTTGGACAATACCTACAACATATAAAATAAATCGATCAAGTTTAAGTTGAAATGATTTAAACTAAAAAATATCACTTATGAATCATTTTTCTGATTATAAATGACGATATAGAAAATTCTCTTTCTTAACCAGAAGAAATCAAATATATCATAATCAAAAATAAGAAATTTCCAACTCAAGCCAATCAAGCCAAAAATTAATTTGACTTGCCCATCTCCGTTCATGTCAAATTTAACATACGAGTACTCAGACATCATGAGTTCTCGTGACATTTTCTAGGATGAATACTTTTTTTGAGTACTTCGGTATGAGTTCTTTCATTAGGGCAGTCTGTTATGAATGTCTTTGTATTAGAGCTATTTATTTATATTCTATTCGGCGCGTTTATATGAATTGGATGTTAATGAATTTATTTCGACAAAAATTAAATATCTATTTTATTTGATGTATTCATAGAATTGAATCGAATATTGATGAGTTTATTTCAATTATCATAATAAATAATGATATAAAAATCAAAGTCGATTGTCTAGCTTTCCAACATTTTCTCTTCTGTTTGAAGAGCACAGGATGATGTCTATTATTTTTCTATTCAAAATAAAATATTCCTAGGCGATGCACTATGGACACATCTTGAGGTTCAGTCTTGTCAAGCGCTTGAAAAAATAAGTTCGACTAGGGATACTATATCCGAGAAATACTTTCATCTGATATTTTTTATCTATAATTCTTTTTCCGATAATTGCAAAGATCTTCACTTTGTACTATCGTGAAATTACCATCAAAAGTTGATCTAGAGAATAATGACACTTTCGACTTACATTAATCAGTTTTTGTGTAACATCTAGTTTAGTCCCATAGCAGAATTAGCTTATTTTTAATTATCTTTCTTTTTGTTGTATGTATGTTTCCTACATCGGATGTAATGACTATTACTAAAACAATTTTTCTCATAATCTATATGACACTATCATCAGTAGTATGCTTCTTTTTAGTTTACTGTACGCTGTTTATGTGATCTTTCTTCTTTTTTTCAGAAAGACAAACTTATTAGAAAAGATTTATTTAAAATATCTTCAATTTAAGGAACAAATTGATCTGCGACTTGTGAGTATTAATAATTATATAGGCATTTAATATTGTTCTGCATAGCAGAAAGTAATTGATTCATATCCATCTATTTAAGCACATAGACATCACAAACTGTGACTGATATATTTACCAAAGTGAAATTTGTTGTAGAATTAGTATGAATCACGCGTGAATTTAAGATATGCATATTCTGTCATACATTTCCATTCTCTATAACCTAAACCTCCCTTATCATAGAAGACTCTAGATATTTTAGTACGAGGAATTTTTATTATTATTAGTAGTAAATTTCATTGTTGTTATCTATTGCTACAATATATAAACTGACAAACAAAACTAAATAAGTAAGCGGATTATATTTTACATTTTAATTTCATAAAAGTTTTCAAAATACTTCTCGTCTAATGAATTGACATTGATGAAATCATGAAGAAAAAAATGTATTAGATAAGTAATTACTAATAATATATTAAAAATCATATATCAATCTCTTGGATGACGTAGACATCATTCTTATCTGTGTAAAAAGGACATTTTAGATTAGCCGCGCCATATCTGGCATGTACTTATATATTAAAAAATCTATGAAAGGTGTAGTCATTCTGATAAGTTTCAAACAGATATAATCGTACTTAACAAACGTATAACTACTTATGAGTGAATATAGGCTTTCGCATTTGCTCTTTGTTTTGTTAGCTCTTACATATTGAAATTGAACGAAAGAATATACTGCTTAATGTAAGTTCTCAAAAGGTTGTTTAATAATAATTCTAATAGATAGTGATTTTACATAGCAATCTAACAATAATCTTAAAAAGAAAAGATTAAAACCATTTCGCGTTTATGTTGCTATTTTAAATTACAGTCAATTTTAAGATTAATAATCAAAATTAAAATGTCTGCAACAACAGCGTTACTTTCGATTCAGCAAAATGTATATGCAATTGCTGGTCCTATCTTAATAGGTATTGGAAGCATCAGCTGTATACTCAATTTAATGGTATTCAGCAAGAGCACTCTACGAAAAAATCCGTGTACGATTTGTTTAATTGCTGTCAATCTTATCAATTTTGTAAATTTTTATTTGGGTCTTTTTCTGGCGGTACTAGCAACTGGTTATAATATCGATCCAAGTTCGACTAACATCTATTTTTGTCGATTTCATTTTTATATTACTGTGGTTTTGGGGTGTTTTCAATCATCATTTATTATCTTAGCATCAATTGATCGTACACTTATCACTTCACCTAATGCTGTAACACGACAACGCAGTACTCGTCGTATGATTATTATTAGTATGATTGGTATAAGCTTATTCTGGATGATTTTTCAAAGTCATGCATTGATTCTCACGGAAATTCTACAATTTGGACCTGGTTACTTTGTTTGTTACTATCCACCAGGTATATATACTGTATTTATGAGCTATCATGCATTTATAGTCAATGGAATTCTTCCAACTGCATTGATGATCATATTTGGATGTTGGACAGTGAAGAATATTCGTACAGTAAGTCGTGTAAGACCTGAAATTAAGTCGATGGATACTGGAAATATGATGATTGGTAGACCTGCCATTCTTCGATCAAAGGATCAACAACTTGTTCGCATGTTACTAGTAAATATTATTGCTTTTTTTATATGCAAATTTCCATCTACACTGATTCTCATTTACCAACAAATTACACAGTATGATGAAAAAACTAGCGATCGACAAGTAATAGAACAATCAGTTTTACAATTGGCATTCTTTTTGTATTACATCGATAATGGTATTGATTGTTATACAAATATACTTGTATCAAAAACTTTTCGAACAGAACTCAAACGTATATTTGTAGATGCTTATCATACTTATATTCGTCATCGAAATTAATTTTAACATTAACATAAACATTATTAGAACACAAATAAATGTTGTATATCCTTCTAAATATATCTAACTATATTCTATTGTATCTGCTTTCGATTTTCAAAACATTAATAAATATACCAGCTTATAACGTAGATGAATATGAGGTTTTAGAATTATATTTATTTTTTATATCGTTTTAATTACGCATTCACAAAAAAGAACAAATAATATTATTAGTATTGTTGAAAGTTAGTTTTGTCGTTTAAATGCATTTGCTACATTTTCACATAAATCTCCAAGTTTTGCATCCAATTTCTGCACAGCTATTGTAACTTCTTCATTCTTCAATCGGCTCATTAACGATGATGGTAGATCATAAGCAAGTCGAGCAGTATTATCACTGCTGTTCTCGTAAATGAACAAGCGAACAGGTACATTTAATCCAACGCGTATATCATATTTGAGCATTGTCTCAGCTATTAATGGATTGCCAATTGTATACATACGTGCTTTCTTTCCATTAATTCCCACATGAGGTAACCATGAACCATGATCAACTAATAGAAACTGCATAAAACCACTCTTTCCTTCATGTTCACGTACACGTTTACTGAAATCTCCTTCATTATTTGCTGCTGCTGACAATCGTCTAAAGGTACCATTTTCAACATTTCCAACAAGTGTCCCAAAGTCAGTAATAACTTCTTCGAAAGAACGTGAACTAATATGTTCAATATGATGAATCGTATATTGTTCGTCGTTCATACTAAATCTATTATCTAAATCGGCTTTCCATCATAGAAAAAATAAGTACATATTACCTATACACAATTTTTCTTACTTTTATCCATACAAAGGAAACAACAATATTTTACGTAATTAATTGTAATACAGTACAACTTACATATCGCAGCATGTCGTACTTACCAATTATTTATAAAATAATTCTTTTACGTTGTAATAATAACTATATAAATAATCTTATCATTAAAATTAAAATATCTTTGTCGTTTTTTTTAAATAGATAACAAATTTTGTCAGTTTTTTCTTATAAAAGAAACTTCAATAACTAGTGTACAGGACTACTATTATTATTTTTAATAAAAGAATGTGTTCAGTACTCAATAAAATGGTATGATTTAATAAATACTGAATTAATGATGACGCGAACATATTCATTTCTAAAACTATTTGATTTGTAATATGAAATCTCTATTGATTCTACTCATAATGAATAAATAAAAAAGGAAAATTTCTTTTTTTATATGTGAATTTGTTGAGGAATAATTGATAAGAATAAGTTGAATATTTTCACAAAATTCTTCCATCTTCAAAAGTCGATGATGATTTTAACAAAAAAAAATAATGTTTTAGAAAACATATGATACAAGGTGAACGGTGAGTCATCTGTACACAATTTTTTTTTATTGAAAAGAATGTAATTTACTGTGTTAACTTGAATATTATTTTCATAAAAATGATCATCACAACGAGTTCTACTAAATTCTATGAGAAAAAGAATTTGTAAAGATTTATATTTTTAATGTTAATATTTTGTTTCTATTGATTGATATGCATCATTTATTTGCCGTCCCTATCAACCATGTGATTTATTTAGATAGATTTTTTTGTATGTAAAGGTAAAAAATGAAATATTTTCGTTATTCGTTATTTTTTGTCGGAGGATGTAGAAAAATGTAATTAGGGTATAAGTATGCGTGTATTCATAAGATCGATGAGAAAAGGCAGACTGGGTTTTTATTTTCATTCTGTCAGCAATGTACATGAATATAATGTGTTTTTATCATCAAATGGTTTAAATATTAGGTGATGGGCAAAAAAGGATAGTTTTGATCACCATACATTTTTTCGATACAAATGATCATTCAAAAAGGACATTTTTGATTCAACTTATACCAAGTTAAGAATATGACTTGTGTTCAACCATTGGGTAGATGAAGAAGAAAAAGACGTCCTAAGAAAGTTGGCATAGCTTTTAGTAAATTATAGAAATTAATAAAAAATATTAATGTTATTCGTATTTGTTTATCATTTGAGTCATTATTTTTTCAAGAAATAAATCTATTGGATGATCATTTCTATCGAAAAATATGTGATGATTGAAGCTATACTTCGTTGGTCATTATTTATATTTTAAATTGTTTGGGCGTTCGAATAGGATTAATCAACTGATCAAAATGGTTTGTCGAGCAAAGAAATTTCTCGAAGCATTATTTTCTTATTCGAGAAACAATTTATTAAGAAATGTAACTATTCGATCAAGATTTCTCATGGCTAAATATCGAATGTATTGAACAAATGAATTATTTGCGTATCAATATGAAATTAGAGAGAAATCTGCTCACAATCGAATATTTTATTTTAGTAATAAATTCTCTAATGAAAATGAAAATATTAGAGTAAATTCTTCTCCAAATTTGTTTTTTTCTTCTTATAACGATAAATACGTAGGTAAAAAAAAGTAATTTTCGTTTTCTATTTCCAGATACGACTGGCGTGAAATCAATGAAAATCTTTTAGTATTCATTTACGACATAAATAATTAAAAAAATATCATTTACCAAAAGAATTTCATCGAACAACTCGAAGAATAACGTAAGTTAAACAAAAATTTTTTCCTTAGACTCCTATAGAAATAAAATAAATCTTGATTAAATCCATTATTGATAATACCAAAGCTATTTGTTTAGATAAAAAAAACCGTTTTCTACTTGCTAATTATTCAACAGGTTCAGTTAGAAGAAATTCTCAACAAGAGACGTTTTCTATAGACAAATGAAAAGATTCTGTTTCATTGAAAGACCGCAATACAATATTTTCTGTCAATTGAGATTTTTTTAAATAAACGAAAAAGATATTTGTTCTACAGTATTATACAGGTTTTCATACTTCACAAACGGCAACGCCTGGAGGAAAAAACAAAGGCAAGAAGATGGATAATTTAGATATATTCTCTCTTTTAGGATGAGATTAAATTTAGGCTAAGAAGATCATATCATCTTCTTTGTCGATTACGTAATAAAAGAAAAGAAAAACGAATATAAAAATTTAATAATTCTCATGGACAGACAGAGAGCGAAAAAAAAGATTGACCTTAGTAAATACGTCCACAGAAAGAAAGAAGAACAAGAGAAATATGCGCACATAGGTGATGAAAACAAAATATACATGTGACTGCACAACGAGAGAGAGGGAGAGAGAGAAGGACAAAGGTATTAGATTGTTTTCTAAAATACAAGATTGAGAAAAGTTACTGATCAATCGAAAAGTTTAGATAAATATACCGAATTTGTATATCTTTGATATAATTATCAGTTTAAATTAAGATAGAAAAATATCAGGATTTTCTCTTTTAAATGTTTCTATAGTTAGATAAAGCTGACCGAATTATACACTCACACTCACACCCTAGACGAAAAAATTTGACGAATACCTTCGCTGATGAAACTAAATCTTTTAGAGTTGTTAACTCATAATGATTTTCTGTTGATCTGTATCTCTTAAAAAATCGTGTGACAATTTCGATTCGAATTTGTATAAAAAATATCTAGATTAGATTTGTTGTTTATATATTAGGTTTTCAAAAAACAAATGTCGAACTTTGCACCAATAATAGAAATAAATCCATTTGATCTTGAGAATCTTATTGAATTTATTTCTAAACATGAGAAAATTCTCAAAGAATTTGGTGGAATTAAAATTCAGTTAAATTTTGAATGTCAATTAGCGTTAAAGAAATATTACACGCCACCTATATGCTCAACTACACAAATAATAACAAAAATTAGTAAAGATCAATCGATTTATTTAGTTGAAAAAAAAAAAAAATGTCAACAAATATTTTCCACAACGATTCCCAATTACAAATGAACAAATATTCTGGTCCTCTCTCAAAGATACACAAAAGAAAATGACTCAATCAAGTGTTTCTCGAATAGAAAATCAAACTTTATTTTGTAAAAAATTGTCTAAAAATACATTCTCAATTCACTCAATTCCAAAACAATCCTTACTTCAATTAGGTGGAAACAAAGTTCTTGATCATATCGTATCATGTTTAACAAGATCAAGTGGACCAGGTGGAATCTATCCTTTATCCAATAATGAACAAGAATTATTTTCACTCGTATATCATCATCAAGGTGGACCTCGCCACTGGCTGATTATTCCCGCATATCAACGAGAATATCTTCGAAAAATTGTAAATGAAGAAAATTCTTTAATTTGTCTTGAACATGGACAATTATTAATTGATCCATTATTTCTTGACAAACATCATATTAAATACCATAAATTAATCCAACGTCCAAATGAATTTATTATTTTATCAGCTGGAATTTTATCTCAAAGTTTTACAGAAGATTCGAGTTGGAGCGAATCAATTCCATTTGCTTTACCAAGTTGGATTCAACAAGGTTATGCATTTCCCTCACGTTCACATTCTCAATGTAATCTTCATCTTTTTGCATCTTCAATTCCAATACATCTCAATTTACTTGAAAATGAATTTATACTACAATATCTCGATACATCGACTAATCAACAAAATTTGCCCATTGATCAAAGTGAGTTTAATCAACAGATTTTATATCTACAAATTCTCATGCAAACTGTAAAATTTTATATTTAATTAACACATTCATATGAATTTGTTCGATAGAAAGACCAAACTAGTTATTTCACTTGATATCAAAGAGATTTCTTTTCTTTTTAGATATAAATCTTCCATTAATCAATCAAAACTTTATGGAAGACGTTGATACAACTGTAATCAAACATGAGCCATTATCTTCATTATTAATTGTCCCACCTATGTATAGTTCCTTTTTAATCCAAGATGAAGAAGATAATTCTCAAGAAGAAATAGGAAGTGACAGGTTAGTTTCAAATCTTTGTTAAAAATGATCTTAATCTAGACAACGGAAGAGAAAGATTTGTCAAAATATTTCTTATTTAATTTAAAATACATTTGTTAAATCTTCTCACTCGAATTAAATTAGAAAGAATCGAATAGATTAAATATTTTTCTTCCCTTATCAGTTAGATATGAATATTTAAATCATTTTCAATAGTCCTATAAAGACAAACAGATAAGAAGGAGAAAAACAAAACTAACCGTCAGATATTATCACTCTTTTTCGTTCTGTCATTGATACACATGAGTTATTGAAGAGAATCCGTATTTACACGCAGCAGAACGAATAAAATCACTCGTGAGTCATTAAGATTTTTTATTTTGGGATATTTTACTTGTTCTCATGGATATTTTGATAAAATAAAAAAAAATGTAGTGTTATTTTTCTAATATACATATAATAACTTATTAGAATTTTTTGTAATCAGACTATTCATCTATAAACATATAAATAAACTTTTCAAATCTCCGTAGATTTTATTTGAACATTATCTTTTTCTACACAATTTTTTTCAATGTTATAGCTCGATACGTTTGACAAAAATCTTAGTCAGACAACATATCTTAAAGAAACTGATTCAAATATGGAAATAAGTTTAGTTTATTATCGTAGAACGCTGATTTGTTCACTATAAGATTCGAGAAAAATGATCGATGATATTTATTGTGTGTAACATTGAAACAAAACTTTTTGTTTATCATTATAGAAACAACACAACTAACGAAGCATCGTTCTTAACAACATCGAACGAATCAAATTTGGACAAACATTTCTCTGAACTTTCACCAACATATCGAAACCAATCTTCTCAAATTGCTACATTAATGGAAACCACGGAAATGTCTGGTGATATTGAGACAAGTAGTGAACAGCGTTCTTCATTTGAAAATCTCATGGATACAACAGATTCAACTTCATTGACGACTTGGTCAACACCTACAAAACAAGAAGACTTAATTGATCGTGTCGGCGAATATCAAGGGAACATATTAGTAAGTTATTGCGTTTGTAGTCATTTCAGAAACAGAAATGACTTACAAAAGATGCCATTTTTGTAGAATTTCTTGACAATCATTTTCAAGTTGATAAAAATATTGATAAGTTTTTTGCGCAGAAAAAATTGTTTCGTTCAATGAAACTTGTGTGTTAAACAATGATTTTAATTTATTTAGAAATCTTCATCATCGATTTCAACAAACACAATAACATCAAATATTTTCGTAAAGAACAATATAAAGAAAAGAAAAATAAATCCAATCGAAAAGCGTGAGAAAATTCTTATTGTAACGGGATTACGTGAAGATATAAATAAAACTGATCTGTATGATCATTTTCTTAGATCAACTAAAGTGACAATAAAACAATGTCAAACATCATCGCTCAAGTAATGTGTTCTATTCTCAATAATATTGTTATAAATGAATATATTTTGTTTAGATATGCTTTTGTTGAACATAAAACAAGAGAACAAGCAAAATCAAATTTTTTAAGACCTATTAATTATATTCGTCTTGGTTCAGAATGTGTCGTAAAATATGCAGGTGATACTTCGTTTCTTTCTGGAGATGGTCGATTTTATAATAAGCAAACAATTGTAATTACGAATATACCAGAAAATGTTAGTGAAGATGATTTACGTCATTTATTTCCTAACTCTCGTGTATCAAATTATGGTCCAGCGAAAATTGTTCGTCGTAAATCTATCTCCATCGAAAGTTCCGGCAAAATCAAGACTTTATGGGGGTAAGAATTATACTCTAATTTCATTTTCTATTTTGAAATGTAGAAGACAAACATTTTTCGTATTTTATACGTCCTCTAGAATACGAAGATATGAGAAATTCTTCCTTTATGATCAGACTAAGAAGGTTTCTAAAATTATATTGGATGAATAAGCAGCAAAATTTCAGTAAATTTTAAAAGAAAATTTATTTAAAAATAATCCGTCAAATTGAATTAAATACTTGATGAATAAATGATAGTCAATAAAAATATTTCACGGAAATAATTTCAATTCTTATTTGTGTTTTAGATATGCGTTTCTTACTTACGATACTGTTCAACAAGCTATCAATGTCGTCGAACATACTCAGCAGTATCATATCTATGGTCGACAGTTATGTGTTTCTTTGTATTCTAGAGAGAATCGACTTTGATCAGTTACAAAACAATTCATTCTTTATCGCTTTTATATAAGTTCAGAAGAGTTTAAATAGATCTTCAATAAATAAATATTTATCATCGTACATCTCACAAAAAAAGAAATGTTGAAATATCTCAATCAACTTTGAATTCACTTCTATCTCGTTTTTATAGAAATGAGAGAAAGGGAGAGATTTTAGACATATTTCTCTTTCATCACATATGTAGCAGATATAATTATATTCTTTTCCTTTTGCGTATGAGTAATCACCTAAACTGTATGTGTCTTCTTCTCTAATGACTTTATTTAGTATCATAGAATTGCAACACAATTTACAATAGTCTCATGCTTTAGCCATTTGTGATTTAATGCGTTTTTCTAACAGACTTATTTTGTTGATCAGCGACGGCTCATTACAAAAGGACTTATCAGATTTTAGGCATCATCAGAAGTCTACTGGCTAAAAAAAACTATGGTGAGAAACGGAATTTAACGTTTCGAGTCTGGTCAGACTCACAAAAAGTATTCAAGGAATGAGAATCGATTATAACAAATTTATTTGTGAGAATGAAGCCGTTTTTGTCGTCGATGGTTCTTGAAACGTTAATATTAGATGAAGTAAATGCCAATAATTTATTTAATAACGACCAGTTGTTGTTGGTATCGTTATTGCTTCTTTCTTTTCAAAATATATTGTTGCAAAGACACATTTGATGTTAGTCTTGGTTAGTATGAGCAGTGATCATATCGTCCAATGGAACTTTTATCTTTTCAACTTCTTTGATGATACCGACTGCCACCGCTTGTCTCATGTTACGAATAACGAATCGACCCAAAGTTGGATAGTTGTGATAAGTCTCAACGCATATGGGTTCCAGTGGTACTATTTTGATAACAGTAGTTTCACCTGACTTAATACATTTCGGAGATGTCTCGATAGTCTTGTTTGTTCTTCGATCGATTTTTTCTAAGAGTTCAACGAATCGACAACGAATATGTGCTGCATGACAGTAAAGTACAGGAGTGTAACCTTGTCTAATTTCTATTGGATGATTGAACACTATAATCTAAAAAGAATCAATCGATATTTTCTATAATATACTAAAAAATATATTAAGTAATTTAAAACATCAGATGAAAAGTTCTGATTTTCCATCTGCTCACTTGAGCAATGAAACTGGCAGCCTGCTGAGCCGGTTCATGTTGTGGATCGGAACAGATGAAACCACGGTGTAGATTTTCTAAACTGACATCCTTCACATGAAAACCAATGGTGTCACCAGGTCGAGCCTCTACAAATAAATCTGATGTTCATTGAATGAATAAAGGTAATCCTACCATCTAAAGAGTTATGATGCATTTGGATCGACTGAACTTTAGCAATTATATTCGATGGAGAAAATTGAACGATCATATTCGGTTTTAGCACACCTGTTTCGATTCGACCTGCGACTACTGTTCCAATATCACGTACTTTAAAAATATCGTGTACAAACAGTCGAAGTGGCTTATCGATTGGTTGCTGAGGTACAATGACAGCATCGAGAGCTTTTAGTATAGTTTTGCCAGTAATCATGCCTCCCTCTCGTTTGAGAGTCCACTCTGTAAACCAAGGCATTCTGTTGGATACCTCAAACAGATTGTCATCATGTATAGCCGAGATGGGAACGAATGCTACACACTCGGGCTTAAATCCAACTTTTACAATGAAGTTAGATACTTCAGTTTTGATATTATTGAAGCGATCTTCTGAATAACACACATCATCAGCATCCATCTTGTTGATTGCAACAATCAGTTGTTTAACACCCAGTGTATAAACCAATAAAACATATTCACGCATTTGACCAAAACTTGACATACTGTTCTCGAACTCATCCATACAAGCCGACACAATCAACAAGGCACAATCAGCCTAGTATAGCAGACAGTAGATATGCATAATTTTGTTTTTCAAGTGACATGGAAAGAAATGATTTACCTGAATTGAAGGCTTCAATGCGCACTTAATAAAATCGCGATGATTAAGATTTCTGACGATAGTAACGCAGTAGTTCATAGTTTCGAAATTAGTCGGTGAGGCTTCAGTAGTAATACTGCAATCATGTAAAGATGGTGTTTGTCTGTGAATACCATTACTTAAATCGATTAATCGTTCAGTTAGAGTTGTCTTGCCTGAACCCACTTGAGCAATTATCATAATACGCAATTGAACTTTTTCTTTACCCATCGACTACCGTTGACAACTGATAAAAATGTCTGAGTGAGCGAAAAATCAGATGACTCAATTTTTTGAATCTATCGTTAAAATAAATTTAACTAATGTGACAAGCGTATTTCATCAGCCGTACGCAATAACATGCGTAATAAAGAAATTTCAAGTCATGTGTGCAAGAAAAAAATGTATTCACTCTTATATATGCATGTGACGCAATTACGAAGAAAAAAAAGAAATGCAAGTAATACTGCTCTGATGAAAAGCATGTCCTAATAGTATGGCATTTTCACTGTTGATTTTGTGGATTTATAATTCTATTTTAAATTTATAAATGCGTACAGTGGTTATAATTATGATCTATTTATAAATTCACTGTTGATTTAGAAGTTCAAACACGTTTGAAGCTTCGTAAGGAAACGCGTTCAGAGGCTGTGGGTGTGGATGTGGTTGTTCTTATAATTATACCTACGATGACACTCACACCCTCAAGATGTTGGTTTGTTTTCTCCAAAATCTTTTTTGCAACTTTTCGGGGGTGAGTGTGAGTAATAGCAAGACAAATACCTTACAACTACACACTCACCGTTGGCTCTTACAGAAACCAAATGTATAAAGAATGAATAAACAAAGTTTTTTCTTTATTTTTACAAGGCTCTTTTCTAATTCAATTGATCGAGTGAAGAGAAGAATATTTTTCTTGTTTACTAAATAATTTTATTTTAAAAAACTAGCTAATCATACTCATCCTCTCCACGCACATACAAGTGAGAGAGAGATATGAGCGAAGGAATTATGTAGAAGAAAGAGAATGATCTAAATGCATTTCTCTTACTTCTTGTCAAAGTAGAGAAAAAGAAAGAACATTACGAATATTGTTAGAGAGTACTCTTTAACATTGATACATCAGATATTGAATGAGTTCATAGAAAAAGAGTGTTTATTCAACAACAGCAAACCTTGGTACATGATTTTTTAACAGTGACGGTTTTCTTTCTGATAACTTTGCAGGTTGGTTTGCAGCAGCACACAGTGGTACGCACACAACATCGTGGGCCACAGCATGAGCAACAGCAAGGGTCACAACACGAACCACAGCATGGACTGCAGCAAGAATCACAACAGCATGGATCACAGCATGAACTACAACATGAATTACAGCAAGGACTGCTGCAACAACCACAACCACAACCGCAACATGATGAACGACAACAGGCTGGCATATTAATAGTAATAATGTGAAGTGAAGTAAAACTGAAGTATGATGAGAACTGGTTTGTGAAACTGTGAGAATAGATGTGAATATATATAGAGGTAGAGAAATGAAGGAAAGTGTTTTCATTAGACAAACAATTTATTACTATGCTCACGTGACAATACCTAACATGCACATGTGGTAGAGAAACATATGGAAAGAAATATCTCATACTTTGTCACTCTTCATGCAATACAACAAAAACATGAAATTCATGCTTATTATCAATGTCTTTCTTTTGATTCGGTTGATAGTGTCGAAAACATCTAAATTTAATTTCATATTCACCTTGTGACCACAACTCTCAAAGGGTAAATGTCATTTGATACACCTCGTTGATGAAAAATATTGATGCTTGCGTTCTAGCACACACACACACACACACACTATAATATCATCAAATTAAGTGAATACCATAATACAACACAATAAAGAGCATTGAGAAAAATGTATAGTATATGAATACAATAACAACATTAATATCATGTATGAGTTATCTATGAATGAATATTTTGATGATGCAAAGATGAATAAAAGTGAATACAATGATCATACTGTGAAAGTTAAAAACTGTCTTTTAATATGAAATCATCTATTTATCAACACTCCAGTTCAAGGATGATGTTTATCATTCATCTTTCACTACCTCTCTTGATAGATTATGATGATATATGTGTTATCTCCTTAGTCATGAAAAGGCTGGTTACATTTATAAAAGAAGATGAAATGAGTAGAATAATGGTGTAGAAAGAGACAAGTATTGTATTTTATAGATATAAGAATAAATCAAGTCAATCATAAATGTTAAGTTTAATGTATTCATTGAATAAATTATGATAGTAAAAGGATGTAAAGTAATGTTCACAGATTTTTATTAGGAAAATGATTTTGATCGATATCAGTATATTTGCAAGGAAATTCATTAAGCCAAACGATTTTATTATACTCCTTTGATTTCGAAAGGTAGAAAAATAGAGAATACAATCTGTTTGATATGATCATATATAATGATTGTTTCAACTAAAATTAAAATTTAAGGATAGAGTAGATGGGTGAGTGTGGACGGTATAAGAACCATCATTACACTCTGGTTTGTATTATGATGCAATATAAATATTTATCTATAATTGAGAAAGTCTATGAATTTGTCGATGCATGTTCTCTTCTCATAACAATCATATTGAGTCCATTGGCAAATGGACAAGTAGTTGTGAATTTGAACCTTGTATCGAAATTCTTCTCATCATTTAATTTGAAATGAAATTCATTCAATAAAATTGCAGCTAATATTTTCACTTCCAATAATGCCATTGCTCTGCCTAAACAAAGTCGAGGTCCAGCATTAAATGAAAGAAATTTAAATTGACTCTCCACTTTGACTTTTCCATCGGCATCTAACCATCGTTCAGGTATAAAATCCATTGCATCCAGACCCCAAACAGACGAGAGACGATGAAAATGATACGGTGTATACGAGACAATGGTTGACTTGGGTAATAGAATATTTGTTGCTCCAGGAAGATGTATATCTCTTGCACAAACTTTAAAGTCAAGAGGTAATGGAGGATATAAACGGCATACCTCAAGAATGACGCAATCCATATATGTAAGATTGGACAGAATTTCTTCGCTGATTACATTATTTGCTTTTTCATGTAATTCATCGATCAATTTCTGTTCAACATCTGGATGCTTATGCAACATATGAAATAAATGTGTTAATGCAACAGCTACTGTATCTCTTCCCGCAGCTATCATAGTCACTAGAATGTCTCGTAAGAGTTCTTTCGTCATATTTTCTTCCTCTAACAATCGACTTAATAGATCGTCTCCAATTACATTGTGCTCCTTAACAATATCCATTACGAATTCATTGATCACCAGACAATACTGTTTCAATAATTTTTCATCGCCTATATTTAGCCATCGTTTGAATTTCCATAGAAACGTGGGCATGAGAAATCGACGAACGGAAATTGCTATGCCATTATCAAATGCATCTACGAATGGGACAGTTGATTGTGTCGATAAAGAATCAAGATCGAAGCCACAAACAAGTTCACAAGTACAATCCATAGTATAACGATGAAAGAGAACTTGCATATCAGCACTCTTTACATTTCTTAATAGTTTTAAGAATCGATTGGCATGTTCGATAAATACTTCCTGTGCTTTATTCATTCCATTTCGAGTGACAAGATGTTGAGCCATTCGTCTGTGAAACTTCCACTGTGCACCATCCACATTCAAGATTCCTTGACCAAACACTTCAAGGAAAGGCTCTGTGAATATAGATCCTTTTTCAAATGAATTGAATTCAGAGCGAAGAACAAATTCGACAAGTTCAGGAGTAAGAAGATCAACACGAGGTGGAAGTAGAGGAAGAAGTTCTTGAAAACATGCGTGTCCCAAAGATTCTTGTCGAAGTGCTTCTTGAAGACGAGCATCATGTACATGATCAAAGTTCTTTAGAAATGTTAGTAAATGACCGAAAATAGGATTATAATGATCAGCAATTGGAATGCCATGCAATGGTCGAGAATAAATTAAAATAATCAAGTAGATTAGACACAAAATACATATAGAAATAATGAGAAACAAAATTAACATGTTGACGATGGCTAAATAATGAAAAAGAAAATATTATCATCTTCTCTTTTTTTCTCATCACTTATCTATTACATTCACCTTTATGCTCTTCTTAAAAACGAACAACAGAATACATTCACTGCGTCATGAGAAGATGATGAAATAGAAAAGAAAAATGTGTGAAAGACTTGGTTTGTTTTTATCTGTAAAGCACATGGAATGTTAAATTCTAAGGTTACCAATGAAAGTTCGTTTTTCGTGTTACATTCGGTACGATTAGTTAATTTTTTTTGTGTCTACCATAATTACGATTGAAGTTAACCTTACTTGAAATGATTCCAGTGAGTTCTCATCTTTGATAAAAAAATAGGACTGACTTATAATCTATTCAAAGATTTTTCAAGTATGACACTACTTCTTATATATAATAAAAAGAAAACTAATCACTATCAGCATTCTATAAGAAGTAATTCAAACGCAAAGAGATTTAATGATATAAAGGATCAATTATAATAAGCATTGTTATTCTATAGACGACATTTATTCACATACATATGTTAAGATATCTGTTCTGTTTATTCTTTATGTATTATTTTGGTTGTAGAAACGAATTCGTGATTAAAATATATCATTAACTACAATTTTTTCAAAAGTCTTTAGATATATTGTAGAATGCTTAAAACTTAATTATTGTCTTAAAATTTAACTCTTATACTCATGAGAACAAATTATTTTATTGTTATTCGATGATAGCTACATTTTATCCCTATATTTTTTGTCTTCTTAACAGATATGAGAACTGAGATACATGTCAACAAGAAAGTTAATATAGTAGAAACAAAATGCGTATGCACACGCATGTATGTACTTAATGATTTTAAAATACGAATATGAAAAAAAAATTTCGATGTCGATATAGAATAATGATTATCTCTATAAAACGGGTGTGGTGTTAAATGTCGAAAAGGAAAATGTAGAATAGGAAAAATGTCGAACAAAAAGAAGGCAAATATCGAAAAGGAAAAAGTATATAGTGGAAAGACCGAAAAAACTGATGTCGAATAGAATAGATAATCAGTAGGAAAAAATAGAAAGGAAAAGGTAGATAGACAAAATATCGAAAATGAAGTTTTTAATTTTTATTTTAATGTGACATGATGAATAATTTTATTAGTTCGAAGGGTGGCTGTGAGTGTTGTATTCTTCCTCTGTCAGCACCTACACCCACACCCACACCCACACCCACACACACACACCCACACACCCACACACACCCACACCCACACCCACGCCCACACCCACACCCACACCCACGCCCACACCCACACCCACACACCCACACCCACACACCCACACCCACACCCACACCCACACCCACACCCACACCCACACCCTCAATACATACAAAGAAGATGATTATAGTCTGTGTGGTAGATAAGATTACATAATTTAAACAGTTAACAATACATACAAAGGAGATCACTAGTCGTTCCAGATGATGTGATCAAACTTAACAGTGATAGCCAATAGTAATTGCAATAATAAAATAGGGACCAGTATAGACATCTTTTTAAAATCATTTTTTATCTTTTCTATATTTTCCATTCTATATTTTCCTTTAGCTACCTTCATGCTTATGTTCGTTTCTATGTTTTCCACTTTTCTATATTTACCTTTCGATATTTTCCTATTTATCATTGAAATCTTCACTAATGCTACTTTCGATATTTTCCTATTTTTTTTTCTACTTTTCCCTTTTCGACATTTTTTTTCTTCGACGTTTTACGTCAATCCCTATAAAACTACGTCAAAGTTAAACAACTAATGAGAATCAGTTCATTTAGTTAAAATAAAATAATATATAACGTATATAACATATTCACATAAAAGAGAAGAAAGAGAATAAATAATATCTAATGTATAATGTAGATATGTTGTAGTATTAATACAATTAGCGATCGTCAAGAAAGCAATAAATTCTAATAAAATAAAACTTAATAATTCGTTAAGTAACGTCCTAAAATGATTGAGCGAAAAGTAATAAATGAATAGAATAGATATTAATATAAACGAAAGAAAAGAAAAACTGAATACAATATAAGAAGCGCTCATTTATTGTATTGACCGATATCATTTAACCATGACGAAAGGTTATTAAGCACTCCGATATATGAACATACATAGAACGCATGTGGACGTTTAATGAGATATGATCATGTTACTCATCCTTACTCACATCTATCCCTCATTTTGATAATCATATAAACACCATCAAGAACAGTATGAGTTTTAGAACACGCACTTTTATTATAAAAATAATTTATAACAAGATTAATATAATATGACGATTAGAGATGCGTTTTAGCCCATTCTGCGATTAAATCATTGGCTTGTGTATACCCTTTCATAACGACAGGATTATCTGGATTAGGTCGTGCAGCAAAACCATGTACTGTTCCCTCAGTTAAAAGAAATTTGTTCGGTACTTCTGGTTTGCCTGCTAGAATCTGTTCTACTTCTGCACGAAATGTATCAGAAAAACTATGATCTTCTTGTGCACAAGCAAAAGCTATTGGTACATTCATTTGTTCATATTGAGCTTTACTAGTCATAGATCAGCAGTGGACAAATATTTGATCGGTGAGAAAAATGATCATATTCAGCGGAAAAATGGTGGCTATGAGAAAAATGCATATATGATTCATGAAAATAGTGATCAAAATAATACGTAGAAAAATGCTTCTAGATACGACTGTATATATACATATATGTAGTAATAAGGAAAAATGATCTCCACTAATAGGAAAAATAATACACGGCAAGGAAAAATTGGCTTTCATTATAACTATATATATATACATTCAGTCGTAAGAAAAAATGAAAAAAAACAGCGGAAAAATGGCCCGCATTAATAGGAAAAACGGTAGCTTAAAACAAAAAATGTCTTTCACTATAACCGTATATACGCATCTAATTGAAAGGAAAAATGAAAATACAGTGGAATAATGCTTTTTTCTATAGGAAAAATGATTTGGAAAAATGGATAAATGTATTGACTATAAGAAATATCCTTCCTATATATAAACCTTTCTATAAGTGACTTATCTGTACAGCATCTCCAGCGGAAAAATGAAAATCTATAGGAATAATGCTTTTTTCTATGGGAAAAATGGTTTTTAAACATTAGAAAAATGAATTTGAATGTAGGAAAAATGATTGTATATTTCATGTAAATATACACATATATCTTTTTCGCTAATGGAAAAATGAAAATCAATAAGAAAAATGATAGATTTCATAGAATAAATGGTTTACAAAGATGGATTTATGTTAATAGAGATGAGAAAAATGTATTAATATTTTAACTTTAATACGTATTTGTTTAGCGGAAAAGTGAAAATCAGTGAGAAAAATGATCATTTTCATACGAAAAATGGTTTAGAAAATGGATTTATGCTAATAGATGTGAGAAAAATGCATGAATATTTTGGCTTTTATATATACTTGTTAGTGGATGGTTTTGAAAGATGGAAAAATGAATTTCAATGTAGGAAAAATGATTATATATTAGATTTAAATATACAGATACATCTTTTTCTCTAGCGGAAAAATGTAAATTCATTGGAATAATGGTTATTTCTATAGGAAAAATGCTTTGAAAAAATGAATAACTGTATATGAGTATGCGAAAAATCCTTTCTATGCATGACTTATTTATATAGCATCTCTAGCGGAAAAATGAAAATTCCATAGGAATAATGCTTTTTTCTATGAGAAAAATGATTTGGAAAAATGGATAAATGTATTGACTATAGGAAATATCCTTTCTATATATAAACCTTTCTATACATGACTTATCTATAAAGCATCTCCAGCGGAAAAATGAGAATCCATAGGAATAATGATATTCTTCATAGAAAAAATGGTTTAGAAAAATGGATAAATGTATTGACTATAAGAAATATCCTTTCTGTATATAAACCTTTCTATATGTGACTTATCTCTATAGCATGTTCAGCGGAAAAATGAAAACTCTATAGGAATAATGCTTTTTTCGATGGGAAAAATGGTTTTCAAGCATTAGAAAAATGAAAGTTCATGGGAATAATGCTTATTTCTATAGCAAAAATGATTTTGAAACATTGGAAAAATGCTTTAGAATAGAAAAAAATTGATGCTCAGTATAATAGCAGTATTATTAACGAGAACCTCGAAACTACCGCAAAAATCGTATTAATCACAACAGTCATGACGTTCAACTGAAGAGTTCTGAGAGACAGTCGTAATTTCAAAGCTTGTCATTATTTTGTTTATTCAGTTCGCCCTTTAGCGAGTTTTGTTTGAAATATTGTAGTTTACATTCATTTTCTAAGATAATACCGGTATATGTTAATAGTGATCCACTTTTCGATCAGCATAGAAAACATTTCAGAAAAACGAACAGTATTACCGGACGAAAATATTTTCTTTTCTTTCTATTCGCACATTGCTACGATACATATTACATGTCGAGATCTTCTATTTATATATGACTAGAATACGCTGTACAAAGCGTAACATGGTAGAAATGAAGAAAAAGAAATGGCTAATAATAGTGATCTAGGCATTGGCTCTTTTAAAGGCGACCAACAAACTGTGTTTGCGCGTAATCGAAACACGTGTCTTCTCCATGCTTCACTAAAGAAAAACCGTGCATCTATATGAAAATAACAAAAATGATAGAAAGACTAAAACAAGAATTAATCGAGATCAAATACAAGCATCCAACATTATTAAAAGACAGTGATATAATCCTATAATTGAAATGACTGGACATAAGGCAAGAAGAAACGAAGACATGCATTACACTATCATACTACAAGAAGTCGTACTTAACAAAACGACAGTGATCCACCAATTATAATAATCGAACATAAAGAATGAAGTCCCAACAATACTACTTATATAATATCAAATTCTCAACTAGACCCGATAATCCCTCTACTAGAATCGTATATTTTACTAATACTAGAAGCTAGAGGAACCAGTATCCTGTCTTTTCACCAAGGCAATACACCAGTACGCGATCAATAAACATGCTTTTCGTAGAGTCAGCTTCATTTCTATAAATGGCTTTATCTGAAGAAAAAAGCATTATTAGGAGAGAATTCCCCTTCTCCGTTGAATTCGCTGTAAAAAAGTCATGTATCAAAACAATTTCTCACATAGTAAATGCATTTATCCATTTTTCCAAATCATTTTTCTCATAGAAAAAAGCATTATTCCTATGGAATTTTCATTTTTCCGCTAGAGATGCTATACAAATCAGTCATATATAGAAAGGATTTTTCTCATAATCATATACAGTTATTCATTTTTTCAAATCATTTTCCCTTTAGAAACAATCATTATTCCAATGAATTTACATTTTTCCGCTAGAGAAAAATATATATCTGTATATTTAAATCTAATATATAATCATTTTTCCTACATTAAAATTCATTGTTCCATCTTTCAAAACCATCCACTAACAAATATATATAAAAGTCAAAATATTCATGCATTTTTCTCACATCTATTAACATAAATCCATTTTTCTACACCATTTTTCGTATGAAAATGATCATTTTTCTCATTGATTTTCATTTTTCCCCTGACAAAGACGTATTAAAGTAAAACTATTTATACATTTTTCTCATCTCTATTAGCATAAATCCATTTTTCTGAACCATTTTTCCTATAAAAATGATCATTTTTCTCATTGATTTTCATTTTTCCGCTAACGAATACGTATTAAAGTAAAACTATTTATACATTTTTCTCACATCTATTAACATAAATCCATCTTTCTAAACCATTTATCCTATGAAAATGATCATTTTTCTCATTGATTTTCATATTTCCGCTAACGAATACGTATTAAAGTAAAACTATTTATATATTTTTCTCATCTCTATTAGCATAAATCCATCTTTCTAAAGCATTTTTCCTACGAATAGATATAGAATTGTAATAAATGATCGTGGATCTGAATGCTGTCTGGTTAGAAAGCTAGCATTTTTGACTCGAATGTCATTTTTCCGCTTGAAATAAGCATTTATGTCACCGATCGAACTTTTGTCTAACCCTCTCATAGATACATGACAACCAACAACAGCATCCACTAGATTATATTTTTCTCCGCCAACTAAAACTGCATAATAACCTCCAAAGCAATACCCGGCGACTTCTATTCGATTGACTCCATTTTCTGATCGAAGAGTCTATTTATAAATATATTATAAAAACAGAACAAAAAAAATAATCTAGTTTTATACCTCCAAGAATTTTTCTATGATAGGAAGTGTAACAGCTTGACGATGGCGAATTATCCATGGTCCGAATGTTGTGACCATTTTTGCAGTCATACCTATCTGTAAGATTCAAAGAAATTTTTTGTCTGACAAGTATTTTTATGTTTAAAACTAACTTTAGCACCGATAGACATCTTTTCTCCTGGAGCTTCGGGCATATTTGATAAAAATGAAGAAGCCACTGGATCACCATTACATATATCAGGAACATAAACATCAAAACCACTTTTTTCTGATATTTTATCAGCAGTCATACGTGGATTTTTTGTTAAACCTATTGTAATGTTTAATATTTCAACGTAAATAAACAATAACTGCGAAGAACTTACCAAATACATCAGTTAATAGAACAATTGCTTTTCCTTTTGATGTTACATCCTTTCCTAAAATTTGATAAGTATCAATATCAGCAATTTTAATAATTTGTCCTTGTGGAGTTCCAAATAATGGTCGATATTCAGTTAAACAACATTCATTTAATTTTCCATCGTTTGTTTCAGTAGCCATTAAATAATTTTTTTATTTTCTACAAATAAAAAAATAACACGTCAATTTACTTATGTTCTTTACCTATACTATACATGAATAAAAAATGAAATCATCAAGTAAGTAATGGCGTCTTTATAAAGCATGTTCTATACATCACAACATCACAGGAAAGAAAAGAAAAAAAAGAATAACACGTGCGTACATAAAGTATGTATGCATTCATATAAGTACGATAACACATTATTCTAACCTTCAAATATATTATCATTCTTAAAGTACGTTCAAATACGAACGATTACCTGACACTTATTAATGTTTAATTCAGCAACTATGATATATTGATTTTTGTACAATATTTAGAGTGAAACCTACATCATTAATATAAAATAACATTGAAATAGTTGTGACAATTATTCTGTTATTGTACTATGAGTACTGCAGGAGTAGACAGCCACGTAGAAACGATTACATGCGACGAAGAAATATGAATGAAGAAAAAGAGAACTACTCAAAACTTGCTTGATACCATTTTCTTTTCTTTTAATTGTTTGCCAATAAAATCAGTTATTCAATAGATGCGATTCATGTTTGCTCATCATAGACAGAGTTAACGAAGGATGTGCATATAGATTTTTTGTATTGTGTTGATCCTACACTCATATCGCTAACAGATATATAAAAAATAAGATTTAAGAATTAACTTATCCTTTTTCTTCGTTCAAGTTTATTAACGCTTTCAGAAAGAGCAGTCACTGTAGTGATCATTGATTATATGATCAATTCTGCATCAATCTATGGCACTATTATTTTCGTTTATTCTTAATCGATTGAACATGGATTTGTAAATATGAGTACTGAGTTTATCTTTTATCTACGTTCACTATATTTAAAAATCAGTAGAAAAAATACAGATTAACAACAATTTCTAATGACTAGTGGCGAGTCCATTTCTTTCGATTTTTATCATATAAACTATACAAGTTTGGTACGATTAGGGTAGTTCCATAGTTACAGAAAGAATATATGTGACTATGAATCGTTATCTTTCTATTACAGCTGCCTCCTTCTCTCATCAGGATGCTACTAAAGGTCAATAGAAAGAAATCACGTTGATGCACGTAACATTTAGAGAAAAGAATCGAAAAAAAAGTCGAAGATGCATATTTTTTTCGCTGCTACTCATTTCAATCCGATATAATCTTATTGTCGAAAGCTATACTAACACATTTCTTTTCTTATTCATATTTTTTTTGCTCGCATAGAATAACAATGATATACCTGATTATTTTTCTGGTATTGATTTTCTATGTTTTCTATCGATTGTATCAGTATTTTTACCCATCACCTAATGTCGATCCACGCAATAAATATGTTCTCATTAGTGGTTGTGATACTGGCTTCGGTTTAGCATTAGCCATTGAACTTGATAAACAAGGCTTTAATGTACTTGCTGGTATATACACTATCGATAATAAGATTTCTCTCATCGATAAACTTTCATCACGTGCTACTATCTTTCGTCTTGATATTACGCGTCAAGAAGATATCGATGCTGCATACGATATGATTAATAAAAAAACGAATACTCTTCATGCACTTATTAATAATTCTGGTATAAGCAGGAGTGGATATATCGATTGGATTACCGTCGATCTCATGCGTACAACTATGGATGTGAACTTTTTCGGTCATGTTGCAATGACTAAGAAATTTTTACCATTACTCATAACTAAGCGAGATTCACGCGTTGTTAATATATGTTCAATTTATGGTTTCATAAGTGGACCAGCCAAGTCAGGCTATTGTGCCTCGAAATATGCACTTGAATCATTTTCTGATTGTCTTCGACGTGAAATGGCTGCATGGGGTCTTCGAGTAAGCATTATTGAACCGGGTTTTATGCAAACACCCATGATTCAAGGACACAATCCTTTTGTGCAAAATCTATGGAATAGTCTTCCCATCGATGTGAAAGATCGATGGGGTGAAGAATTTTTCAATGCTGAAATTAAACAAATAGCTACCAATGTCTTCATTCAAAATGCTGAAAATTTTAACAAAGTAGTGCATGCACTTCGACATGCTGTTATGAACACAAATCCGTGCATTCATTATAAGCCGGGATGGCAGTCTAGTTTATTTTTTTCTCCACTCTCAATGGCTCCGACTTGGTTAGCCGATCTAATCATAGCTAGAATATGTGGTTCGGGTGTCCTTCCTGCAGGTGTGCGCAAACAACATGTGGAATAAGCAACATAATCTATATTTATAGAACACTTTTTAATTAATTATTAACATACAGAAAGAAAAACTAAATTCTCTTTCGCATAATAAATATAGTTTCAATATTAAATTTATTGTACTGAATTTGAATGCTACAATGAACATCTATCTCTAATTCGATCGATACGCAGAAAGAGTATGTTCGTGTTACATTGACGAATGAGAAATGTTCAAGAATACTTCAAAATTTATAAAATAATTAATAAAAGTTTATTTGAAAATTTGACACACTTCCGAATTAAAATAATTTACAATAACAATCATACTATGGTATTGTGAGAATAAATAATGTTTAAAAAAAGTGATAAATGTAATTAATTTTCTTTTCAAAAAAGGAAAACAAGTTCAACGGTTCGTTAATTGGCTCAACTTTGCATGACGAACAGTATCATCATATTGAATAGTATTATCAAGCTAATGCCTCGACCAATTACATCTGAAGCAGCACTTGTTACTGTACTGGTACTGGCTGTGCTTTTGCTGGTAGTACCTGTAGTGACAGCCGCTGTGGTGGTAATAATTTTGTTAGTGGTACTTCTAGTGACAGCCGCTGTGGTTGAATTAATTTTGGTAGTAGTACCGGCGGTGGTGACAGTGGTAGAGGCAGCCGTTGTGGTTGAATTAATCTTGATAGTAGTAGTACCGGCGGTGGTGACAGTTGTCGTGGGAGCCGCTGTGGTTGAAATGATTTTGGTAGTTGTACTTGTGGTAGCAACTGTTGTAGTACTTTGAAATGTTTGAGAAGAAATAGCCTGTGTATAGTTGTATGACGTAGAAGTAGCAAAGCCAACTTGATTTGTTCCCATGTTATAAATTGAATAAAATCGTGAAAGAAAATAATCTCCAAGAATCCAAATAGTGAGATCTGAGTAATTAAAAACACTGTAACAAATATAATATTGACCAGTATTCCATATTAAGAAATATTGAATTGCCGAAAGTGTAAATGCTTGACCACCAATTGTAAAGGTCACATTTGGAAATCCTTGTTGAGTACGACTTGAACAATTTACTGCGAACTAAATATTAAATAGTTTTATTGTTTTTTATAAATATTTCCATCTTACCCATCCTGTATTAGGATCATAAGTAGCACCTAATGCTGCATTTAGTGCATTAATTTGACTAGTCGGTCCAAGAATTAAAGTTGTTCCTGTATCAGCGATAGCATTACAAGATGATGAACAAATTACAGTACTACCAATAGTAATACTAAAATTTAGAGATTATAATTATTTGATTATTATTTAAATTTACTTCATACCTATTAGCTTGAAATTGCCAATAACCTTGCACGGTAACATTAGCATAAGCTATAGAACCTGTATACTTGGTGGTATCCACACCACCCAAAATTAATTCACCACCAGGTACCACCGAAGAATCTCTAAACAAAATTTTCTTATAAAATATTTTTTATACAGAAATAATTAACTTACGGATTAAAATAGAAACTAAATATTGGTTGTGGAATTAAATTTTGTTTATACATATTGTAAAATACAGGAGCTTCGCCACCACTTGCAATACTTTGATATCCTAATCCTAAAAGACCATCCCTAACGCCACCGAAACGTGACATATTCCATGCTTCAGCAAATACTTGATTAGTTACAGAAAGACCAGCAATCTAATTAAATATTACTTATATGAGAGAGAGTTTTCATATTTCTATTTTCTTACTGTAACAGTATCGTTATCAAAACGGCCGTTGATACTTGAACCGTCTCCATAACCGATATAGAAACTAGCACCATTTGCTCGGTACGTACTCGATGTATTAGCATTATATCGACTCCGATTACCTAAAGAAAAATAATAAATTAATTTCTATGATTTGTTATGAATAATATCTACCGCATGAAGATAGACAACGAATCGATGGAATCCATAGATCTGATGAACCTGTATCGAAATCAACATTAAAAGTTTGTGCTGGTGTTCCAATTGAAATACTTCCCATCCAATAAGACTATTCAAACAATTTCTTTAATTTCATTTTAAAAAATTTTCCATTCGACTTACATTCATCTCATTAATAAGCGGTTCATAAACTGGCGTTGATCTACCTGACGCACCCAAAGCATTTTTGTCCGATACTGACACGCGCTGACAACTCATCCTAAATGATTTTATATATGTATATTGAAAATGAAAGTTTGAAGGAAATCTTACTTTACTAAATCACTATCAACAAACACATTTATACTGATTATCAATAAGAAGCTTTGTACGAGTAGTTGAAGCATTATAAAATTTTAACTTGATAAACCAAAATGATGATGTTAATGCACATACAAACATATGTATATATATATATCGCCAACCAAGTAAACATTGACGTCATGGCAACGTATTTTCATTCTTCTAAATTTTTTTCTTTCGCCTGATAGAAATTTATTTTTACGCAAAATCAGCAAATTTTTTCAGGCGAACAAAAATAAGAAATTTAATTTTTATGGCACGACTGTTTACTCTGATCATTGAAAAAATGTTCTGTCAATAAAAAAAAGAGAAAATTTTGTGGGAAAGAACGAATTATGCCTGCGCATAAACTATTGAGTTGTTTGACTAATATTGTAGGAAGCAATGACGACTAATGCATAGCTTGCTGCCGAATGTTTATTCAAAAACGTCATACATAGTGAGTCAGAGGTCGCAACGACAAATATTTCAAAATCAGGAATTCTAAGCATTATTCTAATACGGCTTTTTTTGATTCAAATCTACGTAAAATTACATACAATAGTCATGGCTAGTTACGATTAAAGCGTAGGTTGCTGCAGTAAACCCGGTTAAAACAAAATTAATTATGTAGAAAAGTATTCTTTTATTGAGATACGTTTTTATTTGAATTTGTCATTGTTATAGAGATTCAATTCTGAAAAATATAAACCCACATACTGGATTTACTGCCGTAAACAACATTCACAAGGCGCGCATTGTTCACATAAAAAAACATAAGTAATATACTTAGTCGTTAACTTAAACAAAAATTGTTTTTGTCACTTGCATAAACAATTTGCAAAAGAAAACTATTCGAGGTATTTACTTACGTTTTTCTTTCTGATTATGTAAAATTTATACGAAATAAATTTTGAATACCATTATTTTTTCTCTGAGTCAAATTAAATATAATTATAAAAAATTATGATGATTTTGTGCGTTTTATTCCAAAAACTATATCAACTAATATGATTACATAGGATAAATTTATATATTTTGTAACCAAAATGAGTAAGTCTGCCTGAATAGCGTTTTGTTCACATTATATATTCTTTAAAGTAAATTTTTATTGAATAAAATAAAACAAAATTTTAAATGATTTTTGATTTGCACAACTGGGCAATAATACATTTAATGATGTTAGTATCGATGAACTATTTTTAACAGCTACTAATACTAAATTAGTTATTCTGAAAATAAATCATGACAAATCAAGACATTTTTTAAAAAATCAGGAAAGTAGTATGGCTGTGAAGCCTATTATTGTTTACCTTGCAAAATTCAACTTGGAAGTTTTTCTTTATAAAAAAATAAAAATGAATCAACAAATAACTCATCTTGAGCTTTGTATGGATTCTTTATTTTCTTTTAAATTCACTTTTTTATGTATAACTGCAATCGAACAAAGAGAACAAAACAAATATGATTATTAGACTACACACATGATTTTGTTAAAATGAATACTTTTTTATTTATATTATCGAAATGTATCTTGGTCGTTTATATAATTCTCTATAGAGTGGATTAGGTTAGATGACCATCTTGAGGGTCTGGGTGTAGATAAGAAAGAAAGCCTGTACCCTCCTAACGAATTATTTTTTACTCATCTAGTTTACTTTTGATCGAATATAATATTCCTTAGCAACAATAAAAATTTATTCTCGAATTAAAAATCTTATGTTGGTTTTTTCCAACATAAATCATCATCACGTGCAGAAATAGTGAAATACAATAAAATAATATTCAAAGAATGAATAAAACAACGTGTTGACGACCTGTTAATAAAACTGGGTGGGTGTGGGTGTGTCAGGAGGATCTATAATTATATTATAGATATTTTTTAGTTTTCTCAAATCTGTTTGTTAAAGAGTAAACAATGTTAGGGTATTAAATAGTACTTAATCAATCCTACATTCTAACTTTCATTTGTTTTTCGATTGGAAAAAATGATTGCAGTTCGGCATCGTAAACTTTTCTTGTATACTTTCAGATTTATTTTTATAAAAGAAAAATTATCGTTTTTATTCAAGGAAATGTTGTTATGTTATCAAATAGTTATTACTAGATTGGAATAAACGCTAATGAAGATAAATATTCTTCTCCGGGTTTATTCGATATTAATTTTCCATTATTATTTAAATCAAATGTTAGTATTTGTTGTGTTTCTGAATTAAGAATAATCATTGTAAAATAATATCCTTCATAACAATTTCCAGTCGATGGTTCATAATCATTAAAATCATCTGATAAGATGTCTAATGTACCATTATACGGATTTAAACGTATCAAACGACAGCCACGTTTGCCTGTAAAACGTTGCATACCATAAAAAGCATCTGTTTTATTATCATAACATAAAAATGATGGTAAATCAGAATTTGAAATACGACTTATTATTTTTTGTTTTATTAAATCAATACCAACAAGAGTTTCGTTATCACCAGATACTACCGTTACAAAATATTGATGATTTGTTGCATTATAAAAGATTGCCATCGAATCAGGTGATATACCACTGACTTCGGTAATATTTACCCATCGTGTAGCTATAAAATTAAACGGATCTATCTGGACAATACTTACAGGATCTTCTCCTGCACTTGACATTTGTAATGAATATAATTTACCTGTACTACTATCTACACGTAAACCATATAATTCAGCATCGTCTTCTGTGATAATATCTCGGTATTGTTTTGTACCATTGAATGGATTAACTAAAATCAATGACATCGATGATTCTCGTCTTACCGCTGATCCACTAACAAAAATGTAGAATATTTTATTAATAAGATCATACGTAGCATCATCAGGGTTATAACCATCCAAGCTAGTGAATAGCGTAAACACCCCAGTTATTGGATCAATTTTATATACTTTGTTTGATGTTGTTCCAAGTTCAAATGTTGCTCCTAATAGATAGCCTTGTGGAATTATTCGTATGTCATTAATATTATTAAAGATAATGTATACGAATAGTAATGAAAGTCGAAAAGAATTACTCATTAATCTAAAATGTACAGTCTGAATCTAAGGATAACTTTATACTTCAATTGAACTATATCAATCAACAGTGTCACAGACTGAATTAGGAAAAATTAATCTATTTTTTAGTAGAATGAGACTCTGATCTTTTAAACTAAGAATTTTAAATATTGCTTGTTGACTTCTTAGTCACATTGATTATCGTACACCAAAAAAATGTAGAAAAGTAGCCAAGAAATATTTCTTATCTGACAAAAAATTCAAAACCTTGTGTTCCAGTAATAAAGATATTTATTACAGCCTATTTTTTCGGCGTAAAACCTGTTTTTCATCACACTTAGGGCTATACAGTTTAATAATTTTCATTTCTTGACTTACAAAATATTGAATTTTTTCACCCAACAGTGTTATTTACTAAGCAATCAGGGGGACCATACTATTGAACAGCCTGTTCTATTCAGCTTCATTGAAGGGACACGTATATGCTCTGCCAATACCGAAATTAGCACTAATGATAATATACAGAGATATTACGTTTGTGTTGTAGTTAGAAAAAATGAAGAAAGAAAATGACCACGTTGTGTTTACTAAGAGATAACAGTAAAATAAATATGCTTTGTATAGATAGAAAAGAAAAAAAAAGATAAAAAAGAGAATGAGATACATATTATTCTTCATCTTTGAAAAGACTTTAGTATTAAAGCGATGTCCATTTACTTATTTTCGAGCGAAAACTAGAAGTCCAGCGTACGGGTGTACTTGAGAGTGTAATCCTGGATATTGTCATCATCTTACATCACACTCACACTCTAATATATTCCACGAACTTGGTTGGCCATGCAGGACTTTTTGTATTCTTTCTTCTATTTGAAAGGGTTACGATTTATATGTAATACTATAGATTCTTGACATACCTGATGATTGACAGCCAAAACAATTATCGAAATCGATTGCATAATGCTTTGAATCTAATGAGACAATATTTAATTATCGAAGGAAATGATTGTATTAATGAAGAAGATTTTCGTATTCAACTATCTCACAAGTGAACTGCATGCAAAATAGTCTCATTTTGACAAATATCAGATGTAAAAATACGTATTTTCTTATCAATCAAAATGTTTGTTTATTTTCAAATTGTTTATAAAAGAGAAAAGTACACTATTGATGATCATACAATAATGACTCTTTTCCTAAAAGTAGTCAATCTTGTCATGTGTTTTTATTATCCTAATTGTTTATACATTTGAATTCTCCATCCCAATCTTGATTCTTTGATACACAAATATTTGGCTTCAGAAATCGTACCGCAGCTCACAAATCTGTTAGGATCACCGATTACTACAGTCCAATACTTCTCATAAGTTCCATTAAGCCAAGTCTTAAGTTCTTCGGCAATCTTATACATTGATGATGTTCCATGTATATCAATCGAAGTACTTATTGTACTTAAAATATTTATTCTCATAGTATCAGTGATTCCAGTCATTTGTTGTTCGATAATCCATCTGGTCATTCTATGAAATTATGGATAACGTCTATCTAAAACAACAATAAATTAGTTGTATTCCAAGTTCTTGAATGTTTGGCTTCACCGGGCAGCTGTGTTCTTAAAAGTGAAGTCCAATCTTTTGATTACCAAATTATCTTTAAATTATATAACAATACTTGTATTCAAATGAATCTTATTACTTTATGCCAAATCGACTATGAGCAAATCAGCAAATGATCAAAAAAGTAATAAATTTCGACGATTAAATAGAAACGGAGAAAGAGAATGAAACGAACGAAAAACAAATTTGTAAATATTGTCGTTGTGAAATTCATTTTTAGCAAAAAATAATTTTTTTTAATGCACAAAAATGTGCGCTTTTGACGCGTAAAACTATCGTTTTTTTCAACGCTTGTCTGACTGATTATTCATCCTTACTTGCTCTTTTGTTTACAACATTGTTTTTGTTTTCACTCACGTTAAGAACTAATAATTCTTCCATATCTTTTCATTCGTATTTCTACTATAATCATACATTTTTTTTTACAAATTCTTATGTCTTTTCCCTCTATTTAGCCTGCTAAAATTGGTCATAATTGATAGATGAATAGGGTGTGGGTGTGGATATTCGTGTTTTCTATTTCTCATCAAGCCACACACCCATGTCTCAAAATAGATTGATTTAACGATATAGATGACAGATTATTTCTAAAAAAGATTTTGAAGGAAATTAGCCGCTGATAATCAAACGATCAAAAAGTTAGAAGAATTGATCCATTCAAAAAAAACTTCCTCTTAATTATGCTTATAAATTTATACCAAAATATGAATTCCATTTCTTCAAATATACTAAATGACTAGATCGATAAATTTATCAAAGAAATATGTTATCATGAGTGTCAATCATCTTTTTTATATTGTTTAATTAAAATAAAGAGTAAGGAATTCCATTGATATATTTCTTAGGTTGAATCAAATTTTAAATTTCATAATTCATTAGTCATCGAAATTGTTTTCTGTTAAAACTGTGTGACTATCACATATTTATTGCTACAATTTATTATTTGAAAGATAAAACAAAACAAAATTTCATTTATAACTCAGAATATAGACATATTCAAAGAGGCAAATCATCACTACCAGTGACTTTTCTCCATTGTCCTTCCATCGGATTATATAATAAATAGAATTGTTCATTATTTGAAATATTACTTAAATTCCCATAAGTTAAATCGAAGGGAATTTCATTGTAATGTCCAAAGAAATGTAGACGAATAGTGATCGATTGTTGATCAAAGTCGCCAAGATCATATGCAAACGGTTGATGAATGAGTTGTTGAACGACCTTTTGATTTACAATTATCTCAATATTGTCGAACAATGTAAAAGGGATATCTGCATCATTTGGATCACGACCTTCAATGAGAATTCGCTTTTGATTTTCATGATTTAAATCATGTGAACAAGTGATATGTACTCGTCGTCGAAGAATCCATGGTGGAATTGGAATATTTAGTCGTTGCATCACACCCTGCATAATAACATCGCTAAACGCATGAATATTTAGTGTAGCGTTTTTATGGAAAGGTGTTCGTTGTAGATTGCCAATAACTAATTTTTGTTTATTTTCTACTACACGTTCCGGAATATCAGAAGCCGGTGTCACTGTCAAACTACTACCTGAGAAACAAAATTATCATGTGTAAGCTAAACAAAAATCTTTGACAATCTACTCTACCTAACACAAGACAAAGATCAGCTTTTCCTGCGTGATCAAGTGCTTTATTTAGTTCGTCTTCAGGTAAATCTTCACCGAAATTAATAATCGAATCTTTCAGTCGACCACGACAGCTCGGCTTATCACATCGACGACCTGTGTAATGTTTTCGATTACCTTCCGTATCATAATCACGTAAATATTTCGCACCACATTGCGGACATTTCTCTAAATTCATATTGCCATGTAATTCAGCGAGATTATTCGAATTGACACCACTTCGTAAATGAAGACCATCGCAATTTTGTGAGATAATACATTTGAGAATGCCTTGACGTTGTAAAGCAACAAGTGCCCTACAAAAACAAAAACGATACATTCGTGGAAAAGTGAAAGTCGTCGATATGGCTTACATATGAGTAGGAGATGGAATTGCTTTTTGCACGTCATCAATAACAGTCGTCGTTTTCGCTCGTTTAGCTCTATGACTAGAATTATTCAGATTTTTGATTATTCTTATAAAAGAATCTATAATCACTCTTCTAATTCCCATGCTCCTGGTCCAGTTGGTAACACAGTGTCCATTCCACTGCGAAAATCAGGAATACCAGTCGAAGTGGATACACCCGCTCCTAAATAAATGATGAAAATCGATGAGGATTTAAATAAGACTACATGACATGCTAAAATACCTGTGAATACAATAAAATGTTGACTCTCTTTGATCCATTGCGCTAATTGATCCAGTTTCTTCTCCAGATGAGTCGCTGTATCGAAATGCTCCTTTTTATTCTTTGGATCAGAAATACCGTGTGCCATTATACTTTGTGTTAAATATACTGAATTGATATAAAATATTCCAAACACATACAGAACTGCAACAGGACGCACTTTTACGTTCGCTCTTTTATCATAAAAATCTTGCGCAATCTATAAGCAAGCAAAAAGAAATGAAATACGGCATCATGACTCACGATTATATATAATAAATATTTTTTCTTTTGTATGAATGAACTTGATTATCACGAAAACGTTATTCAGATACGCAACCAATCCGATTTTAGTCCATCAGAAAATAAGTCATAATAGACGACCAACTGAAATAAATCGTAGAAAATACAATGTGTAGAGGAGGATACTTGTAAAGAAATCAAAATATGGTAGAATGTTTTGAGTGACGCATGTAATGTATATACGTCATATGACAGAACAGAACAAAAATAAATAACGATCGCTGTAGATACAAAGTGTGCAGATAACAAAATTTAAAAGAATCCCCAAAATGAACGAGTCGTTTTACTTTGATTTACGTCAGAGATGTCCATGGCGGTGCGGCAGCAGCTTTTCTCATACTGTCGCGGCAGCGGTGCGGTAGCGGCAGTTTTTTCAGGAAACAGTTTTAAAAAATCACGAAATTTACACATAATCTCGACATTGACATATTCTGCATTGTAAAACTAGACGAATCTCATCGATTAGCAGTAACAGCTCTCGTTTAAACCACTATCAGCGTTGAGAATCGGAAGATTTTTGAAAGTCTTATCGCCCAGACAGACAAGGCTTCTAAAAAAAAACGCGTAAAAACGCGTTTCTACGCAATTTTTTGGAAAGCGTTCTACTGCGTTAAAATCTACTCCGTAGTTACTCGTTGAAACGCGGAATTCAACGTGGTTTTACACGTTATTTTGTGAGTTTTAACGTTTCAAGCACAGATTATCGGCGCGTTAATCACAGTAGACAAAGCTAACGGAGATAAAAATCGTAAAAATGTGCGCTTTTCCCGTTTTTATATTCGTTAAAATTTCAAAATTTGTACGCCGCATTTCTCCGTTCTTTTTGAGTTTTGTCTGTCTGGGCGCGGTGCGGCAGCGGCACGGCATGCTTCTTTTTACTATAGTCGCGTTAGCGTTTTTTATAATATCGGCGCGGCAGCGGTAGATTGTCAACCGCGATGGACATCTCTGATTTACGTACAAATCAGAAGGATTCAGATGTTTACTCGTACGTATTTTCTTGTCTAACATTTCTTTTATGTACACGATGGTGCAAGAAGAAATTCATTCTCAAACAATATAGTATATTCCATTTACTGAAACGATCAATTGGACTATCGAGTACAGATTGTCAAACAATTTTTAACCTATATTGCAATTGAGCTCATCAAGCACACTCACACTTTGATCTAGTTTTTTGTCTATTGTGTCGCAAATATTTGCTTGATATTTTGCTCTTTATATAGTTTAATCCTTAGAAGCTATCGTAGGATTAATGTCAAAAGAAAATGTATATACGGCTAACTGATAAATGTTTCTTTCTATTTGCATATATGTTAGTGCGTAGTTAATGTATTCAAATATCAATTTCTATTTATCATATTAAAAGCAGTCACATCAAATCAGCAAATAATGAACTCAAAAACGATATTGATTCTATTCGTAACTCTTCTACATTTCACAGTTACTGTCCTAGGTAATATCATTTTCTTTTCATATTTATATTTGATGGATTATGATTTAATAATTTTTTATTTTATGGTGTATAGGTCAACATCCCAATATTTGGCAAATCATAAGTACAGATGATCGACTAACAACTTTAGCAACGGCGTTAAAAGCTGCTGGCCTAGATGAATCAAGTCAGCAAGCTGGTTCACTTACTGTATTTGCTCCAACTGATACAGCTTTTTCTAAAGTATCGCCCGAAATTGTTCAACATCTGTCAGATCCTCAGAATAAGAATGAACTCGCTGCAATTCTCTTATATCATGCCATCGGTGACAGAGTCTTAACATCGGCCAACCTAATGGGAATGAATCTATCAACACGCTTAGAAACACTAGCAGGCGGTTTTATTACAATAACGAAACAGGGTAATCAAGTCAAAATCAATAATGCTACAGTTATTGCAGCTGAAATTTTGGCTAGCAACGGTATCATTCATATCATCGATGCAGTTTTGATGCCTTTATCGTCAAGTACATAGCAAGATGGCAGCAACTGAATTGAATAAATTTTAAAAAAACACTTATTTTCATGCTTGGGAAGAGTATATGCTTAAAAATTTTTCTAATTTATTCTAAACAAAAATAATACTGAATTATGTTGAGTCTATTCTCTATAGAGGTGTGAGTGAACATGCTAAGTGAATCATTCACAACCTCGCCTGCTTAGCATTTATATTGCTAAGCGTTGTTCTATATATCATTTAGCTTCACAAAACATGACGCTTATAATTTTCGTCAGTAATGAAATGTTGATAGCGATTAAAAGACTGAATTATATTATCTTCTGAAACAGAAGTTAGTATTAGTAACTTTCTCGAAGCTTCAGAATTTTATTCTTGCAAAATCATCATCCAAAGAATTGATATCATTCAGTAAGTTTACGTCGTTTTCTGTGCCCATTGATTCAGATGATATGTCAATTAGCAAACTTCGTTCTAGCTACGTAATACATACAAGAAAAAGAAGATAGATGTGAATAATTATTTATTTCGATATTGAAAAAAAACTGTTTATACAATGATACAAACAATAAAAAAGAAAAAGAAATATCTAGACATATTGAAAAGATTTACTTATGTATGTACCGAGGATGAATACACATGAACATGAACGCTTTAAAGTTGTTTTCTAGGAAAAATCAATCGTTTCAAAAGGATTAAGTAATATTTTTCCAGAATTTATTTTGAACATATCAAGATACAGAAAATTGTATTGCTATCAGCGTAAAGCGAATAAAACTTCACCATATGATGAACAAGTGTCAGACCCTTGTTTTGAAGTGACAAGCAGACGATAGCTTGCGAACGCAATTAAAGGATTTGGAATCAATTGCAATGTACCCCAAGCTGCTCGTCCAGGATTTATTATGAATCCTGCAGAACCATTGTATATTAAAGTCCAGCTGGAGCCAAGTATAAGAGTCGATCCATTTAAATTGCTGCCCTCAATAGTAATCGTCATAGGATCACGCGCTCGACTCGTTGGCTCAAAGCTTGTACTCATATAGAATGCTACAAGAACTTTTGGCCCACCATTCATTGTTAGATAGAAACCAGCTTGTGTTCCGCATGCCAGTGCTCCAAAACTGGAATTGCATGCTCCATAACTACAAGCTCTCGTACTAAGATTCCCATCAAATGCGATTTGTGCTGATCCACTTGGATAATAGTTACCAGAATAATAGCCAGACACTGCATATATACTACTACTACCTGCAGTTGTATTCCATATATTATATACAGTTTCATTTGTTCGTTTAAAAAATGACACGGCTAGTATGATCAAAGAAAATTCAACGTTTTTTATAAATATATTATAAATGAAAAAAAGTTAAATTTCATTTAACTGAAGGATAAACACGAATAATTTATTTAGAGAATGATAAATCAATGGTTGAAAAACAAAAATAAAAAGTCTAAGAAGAGAATAATCACTAATAGGAATTCTATCTAATAAGTATAAATTTATATTTCAAAATACTTTCTCTCAATATACTTCACTTATGTTATAAGAAAAACCTACACAATTATTTCCATACTGTTAAATAAAAAGGAAATTTTATATTAAAGAATTTGTCTGATTATTACTGCAAGGAAAAGATCTGTTGTAAATCAGTTGAAATATATCAAATGTATTTCTTACTCACTTGTATTGTTTTCGACAGAGTAAACACTTGCATCAATAGCAGCCGTTGCCACTCGTAATTGTCCCTGATTTAATTGTGCAAAGTATAGTATACATTGATGAGTAGTACCGAAGTAATTAGCCGTGAAACAAATCGTATTATTATAGCATTGGCAAAGACAGTCGTTTACGGAACTTATTGACGAGAGATTACTCAGTAAATAGTGTGTATCAGTTGGATAAAAATAGGCATTATTGTATACTGTAACAGGCGTTGTCGTTGATAATATTGTATGGGAAACAAGAAAAATAATTATTATCGTGGAGAACATGTCGTAAAATGAATCAATTATAAAAAATTTCTCTCGTACTTATATCAACTTATAAAATGCAGAGATGTATCATACCAACTTAACTCGATAAAAAAGGTTTGAGAATATGTTTAAAGAGAAGAGTAATGCATATTTTCTATTTTTGTTACACAAAAAAAACAGAGATGTAATTTATATTAGACACATTAAAACATTTTATATACAAGTGTTTTTTCTTCATACTTTTTTCAATAGCTATTATATTTTAATACAAACAATCGCATATCTGGAACATCAGTAATATTTATTTTACTATCATCTATCAGGTAGAAATATTCCGTGTCACTATTTTTATTATGATTGCACCACAGTGGACGCTGTGATCGTAGCTTTTACTTTTCTTCGATCAATCAGATTCTCAGCTAGGCCATTTGATCTTGTAATTATTGATCAACAATTATTCATAGTATGATAAACTGCGATTTTTTTTAATCGAAAACGGCGTCACATTTTCATCGTTGAAGAACACATGATACAGAGATATATATAACAATCCTTATAGTCCATTTCACATGAATTCAATTCAAAAATTTTTTTTCCTTCTCTTTGATTATTCTTTATTCATTACTTTCATCATTGTCTTACTGTTGCGATGTAAAGTTTTTTAAAAGAACTCTTGAAAAAATGATAGAAAAATAAAGTTAATGTAGACTAAAATGCAACAGATAGAGTTACCATGGTTAACTTATAAAAAAATAAATTGAAATTATAAGAAAAGTTTTATTCTAGTTTCGAGTATTTTATTGTAAAGAATAAATTATTAGAACAATTTAAAAAGAAAAAAAAAGTGTAAAACTAAATTTAAATTAATTTCTGTACTATTTTCTAATGAATAGACATATTATAGAAATTGTGTTTTCGGGTTTTGAAGGATTAATGGATGCAGATAAAGATTCTATTAAACGTAATATGTAGACTGAAAGTGTAAAATAAATAAATTCATTTAGGTGCAATGAAATAAGGCTTGTTGATTAATCTTTCTAGTGCTAATGGATTTTTCTTTTGTTATTTGCATGTCATTAATAAGATGATATACAAGACTGAAGGGATTCATGAGTGAAAGATTTAATTTTGTATGTAACTTAAGGGTGTGGGTGTGAATTTAGTATGGATTTGACGTTCGTATCCGCTCACTCGTATTTTTCAACTACGAAATTTTCCTTATATTTTTATAAATTAAATTTTTTAGTATTAGTTTATTTATTCAACAACAAACACTTAAAATGCTACAAAGTTTTGAAATATTGCTCTTACCATGGTATTTATTATAATCGATGGATAATATTCATTAATATTTTGTATTATATAGCTTTTAATTGGTATTTCTATGTTTGAATTCAATATGACAATCGTTTTTATTACATCTAAAACAAAATCGAGTGATGTCTTTTGTTATTCGTAAGAAAGAAATAACTATTGTTTAATGAATTTGCAAAAGAAAAAAAAGGCACTTTATTAAATACAATTTTTTTCTAATTTTCTATCAGCATCCTGTCTTAAATCAATTAATTATATTCCAAGAAAAACAAGCATTTGTCACTTGTGAATTCATGTAAGAGTGAAGATAAGCAAAATATTTAAAACTTCAAAGTTGTATACACAGCATGCTGGTTTTAAACATCTTTTATTTTTCGTACAGCAAAAAAGAAGATTATTTATGTTGGGTGTAGGTGTCGGTGATCAAAATATCCTCATATCCAAACTCAGACCAGCACCCACCCACCCACATCTTCAGTTAATTGTAAAATTGTATATATATTTTGCAAATAAATGATCAATATTTTAGCCATTGAATTCATTTCATAAGTGTTAGAAACTGGCGTTGAAAAAAATAAATAAAATAATTCATTCATGAGTCAATGCAAGATAGTAACAAAACAAATATACATCTTATTTGTTCTTCAAAAACAACAATAAGATGTTGTTGATATATTTAGTTTGATGGTATTATGTTGTAGTCGCTTCTAGTTAGTCTTTTTTTTATCATGCAATAGATATTAGTGATTGAAAAAGTTGAAGCAGAACAAGTTCATACTTCGTTAATAATTAGAAGAAACTAAATTTATATTCTTATTATCAAACACCGATGCTTCACAAAAAAAATATGGAATGGATTATTTCTAATTCTTTTGAATCTGATAATTCAACAAACATTCTGGAGAAAAGAATAAGATGGTGTGATGTTTAGTTTTTGACATTAATACATGAAAATAATCATTTTACAATTACAACATTAAAATAAATAGGCATCGGTATCTTGTACTATTCAAGTTTGTGGCATAACTTGATTGATTGCCATTCTTCTTGGTTTCCATCGATTGAAATATATCTCGAATGATACATATATCAATTGTCGACGAAACCGATTAGATACACATACATATATATAAAATGGACTCTAAAAATAGAAAAAGAATTCTTCACATTCTATATATTTGATTTCAACACACTCACTGCAAAATATATATAAACAAGATATGTGGTCACAAGATTGGCAAATTGTATTTGTGCTGATACAACAGGATCTTGAGTAAGTCCTGGCATTGCTGATAGAATGTATGCAATAGTATTCGGTATATTAGTAAAGAAAGCAAAAACAATGAGGACTAAAATCATTACTGTCAACTGTTTGTCTAATTCACGACGAACCAAAGGTGCTGTCCGATAACCTAATTGTTGTACATTATGATAAGCCAAAAGTCCAAATACAAATGTAATAGAGATTGGAAGAAGTTTTCCAATAATTAGAGTAGTACCATAGATTGTATATTGTTGAAAAATATTATTTGTGTTTGTACATGTAACTTGACCTGTCGTTATTGATATTACATGATCAAAATAGATTAGATAAGGAATATTATGAATAATCCAAATGAGAACAAATATAAATACCAAACGACGAGCTATTTTCATGCTACACCATTGTCGCCATTGTGCACGAGAAGAAGTGGCTAAATATTGATCAATGATTGCCAAACAAATACAAGTCATTGATATTGATGCACATATATTAAAGCAGTACAATCGAAATTTGCAATAAAATAAAGATGCTAATGTCCAATCAATACCAAAACCACTATTCATAATTCGAGAAAGTAAACCTGTGAGCAGTTGACCTATATTGACAATGGACATAATAGTTAAATAGAATGCTGAAGAACTTTCTCGAAAAGTTTTCAGACTAAGAAAAACAATGATATTGAGTAATCCACCAATAACACCAACAACAAGAGTAAATGTGCCCAAATAAAGAGTTATTTGTTTACCAGCTAAAGTAAGTAATGAAATAATTGATGATGACATGTTTTTGTTTGCTTCTACTGTTCTCGATGTCAATTTTTAATAAAATGAACTTAGAACTTTTGTATATATTTATATATATAATTATAATTATAATGTATTTCATGATATTATCAAGCAACGACGATATCTTTAGCACGCACAACCAGTTATCTGTATATACTTGAATGAGTACTCATTCTGTTTATCATTTCCAGCGAAAAGAAAATCTTTTAAAAAATGAAAGAAAAGAATATATTTGCATGTTATACGCCTCAATGAAATTTATTTCTATCACAACATACTTATTAATTAAATATTGTAAATGTATCATCTATTTTTTTTATTGATATAGTGCCATATTCCCTCGCCTGTAAAGAGAGTCATATGAAATGAATGCGCTTGTGTTCTTGTCAGAGTCAAAAAGACATCCAAGGTGAAAAGAAAATCCCATAATACGTTATAAAACTTAATCAAAAGATTTTTCGAGTCAGGGAGTCCGAGTCTGATATCTGTTTAATCAGACAAGGCTTGTGCATGTAGGTATAGTATTATATTCATTCCACACCCAAACCCACCCTGTTGTAAAAAGAAACCTTTCATTAGTTGTGAACTTCTGAAAGTCAATATAGAATTGGTTAAGGAACATTTCTGTAATTAGATATGTAAAAAAATGTTCTTATTAGGAGAATTGAGCATATTAAATATAGAATGTTAATTCTAAATGCTTATGATGATAAAATATAGAACAGTTTGTAGGCATGTCAAATGAAAGGATACAATGTTCGTTGGATGAGAAAAAGATAAAATGCAAATGTTTCCTTTGTCGCTTTGTAATATGCTATTGAAATGAAAAAAAAACCAAAAAGTTTTTTTCCGTATATCTTGTTCATCTGAAGTTTCAATTATTTTCCTGAGATTCTCGATCTTTCCTACCCACCTCATGAAGAATTTGTTGAGTTGAAATTGAAAGCAAAAAAATCAATATTATTCTTTTAAAGTGCAACATACTAACATATGAAATCGAGAATAATAAAATAAGAAAAGAAAATCTTGAACGATATCTTCTGGTTCTTCGACACGAAGGGAGACTCTCGAAAGAGTAGGAGGGCTGATACTAGTATTATACGAGGTAATATGTGTTCATCTTTTTATATTTTATGACGTTCAAATATCCTCGAGTGGATTGATTCGTACTTGTTCAACATTTCTTAGTTTTTATTCGGTATTAATGAATGATCTTTCAGTGCCTTTACTAATGACAATATTTGGTTTGTTAACAGTTCGAAATTTGCAACATCATCGTTATATTAACATTATCTGTTACATCTTATTTATGTTATAGTGGTATTACACACTATATTCAAAAATCTTCATCTGGAATTTTTATTGAAAATTATGTTTATAATCTTTCTACTCTTTTGCAATAGATCAGTGGAGTAGTTAGTCTTCTTTTTTCTTTGTCAATTAAGATATTTGATTGAAATTAATATTTATTCATTAACATCAAAGACATTTCGTGAAGAATTATGTTATGTTAGTTTTTATTTTGTTTAGTATTGTTCCTATTTGGTGAAGTCTAATTAATAATTGATTTATATTATGTTCTTTTGTACTTGTGTTGTCAGTCTGAAACAAGTTGAATTGAAGGCGGATTTTGATCGATGATATTTTTTCTCCTTGCACAAGATTATTAGTATTAATCCATTCTTTCACTAATTGTGCATTATTTTTTATTTCAGAAAAATAATTGATAATTGCTATTTGCAGTTTAAAATAATTGGAAAAGAGAGTGGGATACGAAGAAAGAGAGAAGAAACATGAATCACATCAAGTTTAGTCGCACAACAAACTCATAGAATGCTAACTGTTCAATCTTTCTATCTCTCATTCTATTCACTGATCATTTACATTAAACTTGACATTGACGGTTGATTTGATTAATTCTTATATCTATAAAATACAATACTTGTCTCTTTTTACAACATTATTCTACTCATGTCATCTTCTTTTACAAATCTGATCAATCTTTCCATGAGTAAGGAAACACACATGTGTCATCATAATCTGTGAAGAGGAGTAGTGAAAGATGAATGATGAACATCATTCTTGGACTGGAGTGTTGCTAAACAGATGATTCCATATGAAAAGACTATTTTTAACTTCCACAATATGATCATTGTATTCAATTTGATTCATCTTTGCATCATCGAAACATTCATTCATAGACAACTCACACATGACATCAATATTGTTGTTATTGTAATTATATTCATATACTATATATTTTTCTCAATACTCTTTATTGTGTTGTTTTATGATATTCACTTAATATGATGATATTATAGTGTGTATGTATACTGGAACGTGAGAATCAATATTTTTTATCGAAAAAGGTGTATCAAATGACATTTACCCTTTCAGAGTTGTGGTCACAAGGTAAATGTCCAATTAAATTTAGATGTTTTCTATACTGTCAAAAAAATCAAAAGAAAGACATTCATAATAACCATGAATTTCATAGTTTTATTGTATTGCAACGAAGAGTAACAAAGCGTTACTTATGTTTCTTCATGTATTTTTCTATGACATGTGCATATTAAATATTGTCATGTGAGAACAGTAGTTACTTGTTTTTGTTGCCTCAAAACAACTTTCTTCGTTTCTTTGCCACGATATATATACGCACACCTATTCTTGTAGTTTCACAAATCAGTTCTCATCGTACTCTAGTTGTATTTTACATTCCATTATTACTATTAATATGCCAGGCTGTGGTTGTGGTTGCGGTTGTGGATGTGGTTGTGGCTGTGGATGTGGCTGCGGCTCATGCTGTAGTTCATGCTGTGACCCATGCTGTTGTGATCCTTGCTGTTGCTCTTGCTGTGATCCTTGCTGTTGTTCATGCTGCTGTGGTCCAAAATGTTGTGTAACTAAAACGGTGTGCTGCTGCAAACCATGTTGCAAAGTCATCAGAAAGAAAACCGTCACCGTTAAAAGATCTTGCGCCAAGGTTTGCTGTTGCTAAGTTATGACTTATGTTCTTTTTCTATGAACTGATTGAATATCTAATGTATCAATGTTAGAGAGTACTCTTTAACAACATTCGTATTATTCTTTCTCTTTCTTAATTTGCTCTATCCTTTTCTTTACCTTTTGCGCAGGTTAGAAAGAAGCAGATGAATTACATCATCTTCTTTGTTTTCATGCACTGTCGCAAAAAGTATAAGGGATGCATTTAGATCATTCTCTTTCTTCTCCTTATTTCCTTTGTTTATCTCTCTCTCTTTCTCTGTCACTTGTATGTGCCTGGATAGAATGGGTATGAATAGCTAGTTTTTTAAAATAAAATCATTTAGGGAACAAAAAAAATGTTCTTGTCTTCACTCGATCGATTGAATTAGAAAAGGGCCTTGTGATAATGAAGAAAAAACACTTTGTTTGTTAATGCTTTATTCGTTTAGTTTCTGTCAGAGTCGGTGCAATTAAATGTTGCACGACATACTATTTCGACTAGAGAAAGGTCCAGAAGGAAGACAAAAATTGAATTGATACTTATAAAAAATCCTTTATGTTTATCATAAAGTATAGAGAATTATCAAACATCAAATGTATTAAAACTAATAAATCGCATTTAGAAAATATTATGCATTGATGGATCAAAAGTTGTAGAGGATTGCTGTTCAACTTGATGATAGTATATTGTGAGTGTAGATGTGAGATAAAAATAATTTTCACATTCACTGCTACACCCATACCCACACTCACACCCTCAAGATGTGATATTTGGAAATTATTAGTTAAATCTACTATGAGAAAATAATAGAATTAATCTTGAAATGTTTTATAAATGATCAAATTTGAAATACAAATATTTAACTATATCTGTATGAAAAATACTTTCATTTTTTCTGTAAAAACAAATTTAATTAAAACTTAATAAACGATCATGAAAAAGAATATCAAAAATATTGTTCGAATTGCTAACATTTGTAAGAATATGACAATATCAAGTGCTTGAATTATAGCATCGAACAGTTTTATTCTACGAATAACAAATCATAGATGTAATTTTTTTTCAATAACTACATGAACAAAATCTCTTCAAACTTATATGATTTTATTTTATTGGTTAGAGTCGTTTGTCATTGTATGACACTTAGATAACAATTTAAATAAACAAAAAATAGAAATTAATCATGAAAGACTTTATTATGTGAAAGAAAGTCTTAGAGAACATTCTAGGTAAAATATTAACAATCAAATTTTAATCACTTTACAGTTAAAAAAAGCTTAAAAATCATCAAAATAAAACTATTTTAGAGTATACTCACGAATATTCTTAGTTGCACTTCACAATCTTTATTTTTATCAATGATGGGAGTATAACATAAGTATGACATTATTGATGACGCTCCTATTTCTATTCTCTATAAAAAAATAATTTGTATTATTATACAGGTATATTAGAGTGGGTGTAGATTTTATATTCATTTCTCATCTTTATGCTTATAATCACATTCGCATCTAGTGAAACTTTCGCATGGGAGATTAAAAAATAAATAATTACGAAAAAAAACTTGTAAAAGAAGTAAAGCATGGATTTTTAAACAGGTTTCAGAACTAATTTTCAACTAGGAATATTATATGTTGTAATAACAGTGTCTTATTTTTACTTCCTTGTATTTCATCATCATGTTTGAAATAATATTGTTGTATTCTGTTAACATTTGCACGACACTATAGTGATGTCGCAGAAAAATAACGACTCTCGCAATCAGCTAGTTAAATAAAGTTTAGTTAATTGTTTAAAAAAAGAAATATTTCGTAACTAAGAGTAAGATATTCTTTGTATCTCGCTGATATCAGCAGAGAACAATTATTCATATTAAAAATATCTACTCTTTTTCTTTGTTTTTTCTTTCCTTAGTTTAAAAAAATAATTCAAAAAAAATTTTTTTTTTCCATAAAGGAGTTTCAGCAAATTAAATACACAACAAATTCTTTACTTTACTCTGAACAAAAAAAAATCTTTTTGGTAAGTACTGACTTTTGTATATCTTAGAAAAAACAATCCTAATTCTTTCGGATCATCATGGAGACTATCGAATGAAAATTTCAAGACAAAAAATATTCATGTTGAAGAACAACAGAAAAATTTTTTTCGAAAAAAATCAATAATCAGATATTTAAAGATTTTGTTTATTAAAAACTGTAGAAAACTATAGAGAAAATAGAACATTATTGTAATAAACTTTTATATATGTTGGCTGAATCATACTTCTCTGTACAATTTCTATGGAGACAAATGAATATTTTTTCTTTTTATTATTTGATAGAAAAATATAATTACACAAATGAGATTTATTTTTGCAGCTAAACTATATATTTGTGATATTCTCACATAATAAGTCGATGTTTAATGTTTATAATCATGATTTTTTAATCTAAACTCTTGTCTAAGATCACTATCGTTAAATATAAACCCAAAACGATGAAAAGTAGAAAATAGAATCGTCGTCATCAACATGATGCTATGAAGTCGAGCAAAAGAATATTTTTTTTTTAAATACGAGAAAACTATAGTTTCATCACTGTACGTATTACTTCTTACGTTTTACAATTAGCTAAATTTAAAGAAAAATATTAATTAGAATTTTTTTTTCAAATTCTCCTAGAAAATACGTATTATGCTTGATATTTCAAGTAAAGAAATTAGAAAAAGATTATTCTCTCTTACATGAACAGAATTATATCATAAGAGGCACCATATTTTATTTAAAAAATGTAAGAAAAAATAGTTTTCTAATTGTACAAAATTGTTTCAGAATATGGAAGTTATTTATAGAAAATGCAGGAAGAAAAAATTTTCCTTATTACGATATTAAAAATAAGTAAAGCATCAAGACGTTTACTCTAAAATCATTTCTTCATGTTTGTTGAACTCACTTTGAATATCCTTTTTTTTTCTTTCGATGATTAAGAAAAAAAAATACAAAAGATTACTTTTTAAATCAAACAACTAGTTTGAATATATTCTCAATTAAGAAATTGCAACGTTGCAGATTCTACAAAAGTAAAGTGTAATTATTTCAATTGGAGAAAAATGTATATTAGAATATATTGAAAAGATGGATTTTCTTGTATTGATATATACTAGTTAAATACAAATATTTGTTCATATTCACTTTCTCATAGAGAAGAGTGCAGCAAAAATAAAGTGTCTACTTGCGGATTCACTTTTCACTGGTTAGTCGAAGAATATCGACCATACATGCGTGTTCTATTGAATTATGTAATGACTAATTCTATGGTAAGTATTAATTAAATTAATAATTTTTGTTTTTCTTTGTAGACTATTTACATCGATCAAACGAACAGCAAGTAATTCTTTTCTTTAAAGCAAATTTCATTTTTTATTTTTAGGTTATTTATAATAATAAATCGATCAATAAGTATTTATACATTTAAGTAAATTTTGTTCTTTATTTTTTTGTTCTTCGATTATTATCAAAGATAAATCCAACAGCAAGTATTGATTAAAATAAATGTGCTGTTCAGCCTAGTCCAAGGATCCAGTTCTATTTTTTTATTTAGTATCTATGATATAGAAAAAAAGAGTTGCTATACGAATAGTAAAGCTTCTAAAAATATTATATCTTCTTGATATATCATAGAAGTTGCATTAAAATAAAAAGAATTAAGACCTTCGATCAGACTAGACATCACAAATATTAGTTTTTATATTCTTTGAAGAGTGATAAGAAGCGAGGGTGTACCAAAGGTTTATGGAGATGCGATAACAAGTTCCATTCCTTTTAAATATACAGCCCATTTTCTATCCGTATTATCTAGCGTATAAATACAATCCTTAAATTTGTGTTCCATTAACTGATCGTGTGATTATTTTTAGGTATGCGGCACTACTAACGAAGGAACCTCTCGAGGTATCAAAAAGCTTTTGAGCCGCAATTTTGCTCACAAGTAGGGGATATATAGACTAAAAAAAGCCTAGAAGGATATGAGCCCAAGTTGATGTTTGCCTGAGATATCGACTATTTATTGTATTTGTCCTATAGGGCCCTATCTGTGCAGTAAAATCAAAGTTTCGAATTTAGACCTGAAACTTTGTCTACGCTAAGCCCTCAATCAGGCAAGCTTGCTTATAAAGTTTTAGAAATTTCGGAAAGACTGTCTCCGAGATACAAGTATGTTAACATAGAGACGCTTTCTTATAGATATTAGGTTTCACATAAATATTTTGACGGATTCATATCTCGGAGATAATCTGTCTAAAATTTCTGAAACTTTGTAAGCAAGCTTGCCTGATTGAGGTCTTACGAGAGAAGTATCCGAAGTGATAAAAAGCTTTTAAGCTGATATTTGGCCCATAAGTAGGACCTATTAAGACTAGAAAAAGCCTAGAAGAATAAGGGACCATAGACCCTTATTCTAGAGTTACGGTCATTTTTAATGAATTTTTCATATATGACAAGATATTCATGGAAAAATCTACTTACAGAGTTTGGGTCTGAAACTTTGTCTACATATGGGTCTTATAACCCATATCGTAGCCTAAAAGTTTCAGCCAAAACGAATGTTTCTTTCACGAAATACTGAGTACTCAAGAAAAGTCGATCTTCTTGATACATATGTGGCATAAGAGGGCTTTTTAAAAGCTAAACATTTCGTGAAAGAAAAATAAGTTTTGACTGAAACTTTTAGGCTACGATAAGGGTTATAAGACCCGAACTCTGTAAGTAGATTTTTTCATGAGTATTTTGTCATATGTGAAAAATTCACTAAAATGACCTTAACTATGGAAGAAAGGCCTATGGCTCTTATTCTTCTAGGCTTTTTCTAGTCTTATCAGGTCCTACTTATGGGCAAAATATTAGCTTAAAAGCTGTTTATCACTTCGGGTACTTCCCTCGTAAGACTATGTGAGATGAAGAACATTTTGTGAAAGAAAA